CCAGGCCTGGACTTACAGACTGACCTTCACCCCTTTCCCTAGACCTGCTTGGCAACCACCAGGCTGTGCCTGACCCTGCTCACCATCTCCAGAGCTGTCCTGCTCCCTTGCTTAACTCTGTCTCCTCGGTCCATAGGAGCTTCTGGCCCCTGTTGCTGAGCTCAGGACCCCCTTGAACCCTGAGCAGGGCTGCATGGGGGCTGTCCCCACTGCTCTCTCTGAGCCAAACACCATGGCCCAAACCCAAGTCCCCATTTCCTCCCTTCTGCCAGCTCATACTGCTCCCTGTTCCTTGCTAATCCCTTCTCAAGATCTTCTGCAAGCACAAATTCACTTGATCAGAACTCCCCCACATATTGGAAAGAGTGATAAAATGCACCTCGTGTTCATAGTGCAGGAGCTAAGCTCTCTTTAACGATTAATTTGCCTTCTGACTAGTAAACACACTTTTAAATACAAATCAGTAGGAACGGTTATGCTGGGAATATTATCAATACCTGAATTTCAAAAGAAATTACATTCTATGCCTTCCACACACACAAAATGTTTTGAAACATTTACTTTCTTGTTTGTCTTCCGTGAGAATATAATTTTCAAACCAAGTCAAATCTCTTGAGCTACTTTGCAGTTCCCCACAAGTTAAAAAAGAGCCCCTGCTATATAGTTAATAATATTATTCTTGAAATACAACTATGTAAAAACGTTTCATGTAGGAAAGCGGGAGTTTGGCACGGCCTGGGCCCAATCCCAGCAGATTTAACCAGTGGAATGAAACAGTAAAGCAGCACTTGGAAACCACAGCACATACAAAACCTCACCATCTTGCCATTAGAGACCTGTTCCAAAGCTCATGGGAATCAATTGTGGAAATCTTTACATAGCCTTCTCTAAGCCCTGTAGTTTTAAGCGTATTTTGGATGCGAGCTCCCAATTTGAAGGAGATTTCTTCAGAAAAAACACAAGCACACTTTCATTTTAGAAGTCACTCACCTACACGCGGACCAATGAAATTCTTTCTTTCTGGTCTCTGAAAGAAGTCTAAACTGCCCATTGCATCTGACACAACAAAGTTCAATGACCTCTCAAATATGCATTTTCTTGTACTCCCAGTGTATTCTCAACTACATGCTTCAATATGAAGCTGCACATAAATGGCCAAAGCAGTAATGGACATATATTATATAATTACGTATATTATATATATTCTATTCCTTAGAGTCCCTGAATAAATTTTCCTAATGACATGATAAAAAATAAACTTTACAGGAATGGGTACTGTTCTATAATACATTATATAGTCATTAACTCCACCATTGGATGTAGCACCATTTACATTATGAGTACTTCTCAGGCCTCAGTGTTTTTTATTTTGTTTTAGAGCTACTGAGCTCTCACATGCCATTACACACTGAATGTAGTAAAAAGCCCTAAGTTTTGACCTCAAAATCACAAACAACAATAAAAATTCAGCTTAACTTTCTCTATTGAAAGAATATGGCATGCATGAGTAAGAGTAAGATAGTCTGATGGTATTGAAAAATCCTGATTGCCAATGTTCTTTATATGATTTGAGGGTTTTTTTAAGCCAAATACAATTATATGGCATGCCATGCTGCATCACTGTTCTTATGAAACAAGCTTTATATAGATAAGTGTTTTGTTTCTTTATTTTAAAAGATTTTTATTCCAGTTTTTAATGAAGTTATTCTACATGCATTGCTATATCTGGAATGTATTTTATTTACAGTGGAAACTGCCACCACTCAGATTTTCACAAATAAGCAGAATCCTTCAAATGGCTTTTTAAAGTTTTTGTCTTCCTGTACAGTATTGAAAATTCATCCATATGGTATTTAAATACTAATTTAATTAAAATAAGATACCAGTAATTAAGGAAGATTATTCCTCTCCTCTGTCTACCATTCTTAAAATGCAAGGTTGGTATTTCTTTACTTGCTGCTACCACCTGTGTGGCACTGTGAATTTCAGAAAATTTTTAATCAAATGGTTTAATGTCATGTTCCGGTCTGAAACGCATTCAGAACAGGAATCTGATTTTTCAATTACATTTTCTGCAAAGCCATGCTTTAGTAAATAGTGCAGGAGGAGCACCTGAAAAGACAGTCTTGTGAAACAACTTTAAAAACATTGCTTAATGGAAGAAGTTGGATTTGTGCTGAATTAGAAACCAGCCCTGCATATAAAATAAGGAGTATTCTTCACCACTGAGTCTGACACAAGAAAAAGAAAGAACAAAGCTGAATTACCGAGCTGACCTAGGCTGGCTCCGCAGAAGCTTAGTCAGAGGTTAAAATAATGACAAGAAGTAGGGTGTTACAGGCAAAATACCTTTTTCAGGGAAACCAAGAAGGTTCAGGCAGTCTAAGTAATGTCCAGGATCAGGACCAAGAGAGGAGGAGGGAGGAGATTTATCCAGTTCTCCAAGAAGCCTTTATCAACACTGTTCTTATGAGCATAACTGGAACTGAAACCTGCCTAATGGCTCTCTTAGATGTAAAACTTTCTGCATCTACATTGGGAATTAGTGTGCTGGAGGGATTCTTCCTAGGCATTGTTTTGGAATCTCAAAGTATGCATGTGAGCACATCAATGTTGTTCCTCAAATCGTTCCCTTTCTGATGGAACTGAGGATGAAGTTACTCGCCAGTGTGCCATCATGTGTGTAGTGTTTGTCATGTAGACTACTGTCCTTCAGGTGTTTGCACTTTGTGTATGCATTTTGGATACTCTGGGCCAGTAACTGGCATGAACTTCACTGCCAGGTGAAGAACCGATGTCGATGTGTTCTGGCAACCCTAAAGTATTGCAGCAAATCAAAATCCATTCCTTCTTTCTTTGCAACCTCTTCAGTTGGTGATGTAGTCATACCCACTAAGACCTTCGCTAGGCAGCAACTTCTATCAGTTGACTCAGCAGCCAAGTGTACTTTCTGTTTCTGCTAAATTTCTGAAGGATAAAGTCTTGGCCTATCTTCAGCAGAGGAATGTGGTCACTGCTCTTACAAACAGAGACATCATGGGACTCTACAGAGTACAGCACATTCCATTATGGAGCTTGTGCGCCATGAACTTTAAATAGATCAAAGGCAAGATTGGAAGAAGGATCCTTCCTGACAAATCCATAACTGCACAGATCAATTAGTTGTGTTCTATGAGAAAGAAACATTAGCCAGAGCAAAGCCAGAGCAAAGGCTGATGTAGCTGTGAGGCTGTGCTGACAAGCACGAGGTAGTTCTGCTCCCAAGTTCTTGGAGGTTGCAATTTTGAGGTCAGTTACTCCAGATGATCAGACTGGATTTTTCCCAGTATCAGAGCAGGTAAGCCAAACCAAAATTATTTTAATTTTGCAGTAATTAAAAAAAAAAAAGTATCATTCACAGTAGAAGTAACTTCTATTTTAAAAAGCAGTTAATGCTAATAATAGTTACTGCCTACAAAATTGCACCTGATTTGACATTTTAAAGATTCAAATATAGCTTGGAAAACAACATGGAAGGGCTGAAGTAGGAAACATTCATAAATGTGTCACATTTTCCCTACAAAATCGTCTCCAAAACAGAAATGCAGAAGAAAGTTTGAAGCACATTATCTTAAATTTATCTAAAATAGATATTTTTCATCAATGGCAGAATGAAAAATGGAAGTTAACTGCAGAAGAAGTAAGGTGCTATAGGAGTCACTCATGGTTACTAAACTAAGCATATGCACATATGTTTACCAAGTCAGTGATCTCTTAGTTTTCAGTAAAAAGAAGAAGAGAGTTTGTAGCTCATTTCTGGAGAGAAGATCAAAAGGACAAATCCTAGCAAGCCACACAATAAATAGTCTAATTATTCCGAGTTACCAACTGTTTTAAAGCCCATATCATGAATTTCTGAGGTACACTTCAAGAGTTAAGAGCTCCTAGTGTTATACCGGTATTATTATAGCCTATTTCAGTTTGATATTCCCATGTCTACAGAATTTGGGTTACAAATAGTACAAGGAAATACATGATTTCTAAACAGCTATTTTATTTTAGTTCTTGATGTGTCACAGAAACACTTTTATTAGTTTCAACTTTTTGCAAATTACTGATTAGTGGCTTCCATTCAAGATTATTATGCCCTGTTGTAAAATGTGAAATAACAGAGGATTTGAGTAACATATTTGCGGGAATTTGTTACCGTAACTAAGGAAAAAACCAGAAGCAGGTAGTGTCTGTCAATACTTACCAAACTACAACGAAAACTGATGCATACCACACGCAAAATGAATGTTTCACAGCTACCCTCCTTATTTTCCATCACATTTAAAAGTCAGCTACTAGAAAACAGCTCTAAGCAAGGATCTTTAAGACAGTGAACTCACATTAAAGAAATCAATGCAGATTAGGCACTTGCAGAAAAAGTCTCTAGGAATAAGATGAACTCCACCCTCTGAAGGACTATGGGTAAAATGGGGAACATTTATAAATTTTTAAATGGCCAAAATTTCACTGCTGGGTCAAAGTGGTTGATAAGCAAATATTTTTATTTGAGGTTATTCTTCCATTGCAAGTTGCATAACTTAGGCACTGCTGGGTTCTAATAGTTAATATTTACCATCTCCATATTGCTGTTTTTCAAATAATTTCTCTACATGCACATATGCATTCTATATATATAAAATTAGAAGAACTCCCTACTGAAAAAAGAAAGAAAGCCTTTTTAGAAAACAGAGAAACAAGCCTCTAGTAGGAGGATATAGGAAAATACCTGCACGATGTTGTTAATTCAGATGTTTTCATGCTCTTCACCTCAAGATGCACCACCTACAGTTATATTTTTTTTTTTTAGGTAAACAGACGTAGGATTTCACTGTGCTGTGTAATAAGCACGTCTCCAGTAATTTCTTCTCTTTGGAACTGTAACTATGCGCTTCACTTCTTAGGGATTAATGAGACACAGTGATGCATGACATGAATGGCTTATACAGACTGCAGGAAGAGAAGCCAATCACCTTTACCTGAAGTGGGAGACTTGCAACGCTCTAGCTCCAGGGAAACTGGACTGTCACTGAGTTCAGTCAGGCCTGAAAAAATGGAGTTGAAAAGTTAAGTTACAATCTAAAAGGGCATGCTTCAACTTGCTTGGTTGATGATGTTCTGCACTTGAAAATCAATTTGGAAAAAGGAATGGTGTGAAATGCAAGGGAAATATCTATTTCAGATAACTGCAGTTATCAGGCTGTCACTGCAGAAATTTAGGTCTGGTTTAAAAATCACACCTCTTGTTAACTCAGATTAGTTTTCCGAGTGCCTCAGGGTAGACAAAGAGTGACTGTACCTAATGAGAGAAAACAAGTAAATATAGTTTAAAATTTTAATGTCTGTGATGTGAATCAGATTCATTCATCCCTGTCAAACTGATGTGGAAGCAACTCTATGCTTTCAACTGCTGAAGAATGCAGGGAGGAAACCTTAAAACAGGGGGAGAAGGGGGAAGAGGAGGAAGAGAGCGAATACAAAAATATCACCACTACTATGCAGTATTAGGAATTTTTATATGAATTCACACAAGATAGCTCATTTTAAAGGACACAGAGGCAATGATAATGCTGTCTGAATATAACAGAATTTTTGGATGTGATACTTTATATATTGTTTATAAATATTTCTGAGGAACTCGTTGTGGCAGTGTACCGTGGAAGACAGCAACACGAAAGTAATTTTAGTTTATATTGCTTAAGCTTGGGCTTGTTTCTGTGATCCATTTTTTGGTACAGGCTGCATGTACAAGTTTTAAACATGCTTTTTGGCATATGAGGGAGAGAAAGTCTGAGCTCATGTTATCCTGTACCATGGGATAACTGTGATCTGGGCATGGCCATGCCTACTCAAATGTACCCTTGGTATGTAGCCCATAGTGCCCTATATGAAGTGGTTCAGACTTGTTGTAAGGAGCTCTGACCCTTCATGCCATAGAATGCTTGGGTCTGGCAGCACCAGCTATCCATCTGCTAGCAACGGGGACACTCAGAAGTCGGGTCATACAGCCTGGTGAACATGAGCTCACATTCAGATGTGCGTTACTGTTGAACTGATACAGTGTTGATGCACACTCTGCACAAACAAAACTCAAACATCCTATCATGAGCTTTCAATATGCTTTAATCTGGCACCACGCCTCCGGCAATGTGATATGTTTTAATTTTTATGGCTTCTGTAGTCTAAACCTCATATAGACTCTTGTTTTAAAAAAATTCTGTTACCATTTGGTTGCCAGTGCTGTTCTCTTTCTATTAAGAACAGTGGGATCTTAATGTAGGTACCGATATTTTTATTACGATGTAATTTTGAGCTTCTCTGAGAAATGGGATGAATCCAGAGCCTCAAGAGCTAATGAAACTGCATGAGTACTACAACAACGTTGAGAGCGCTTTGGAAAAACAGCAGTATTGATTGGGCCTGTTTGGTCAGTAGTAACGACATGTTTGCTCCTGACTTTTAAACACCAAAAGATCACAATCTAGGTACTGATGTTGAAAATCAAAGATTTTTTATTTTGTGAAATGTACATGAATCTTTCTTTGATTCTACTTCGAATCTGTGTGAGAATTTTTTTATTCCAATATGATATGATATGATAGAATTCAGGAACTGCAGCCATTTAGGGAGCCTCTCTATGTACAGCTTTCTTACAGCAAATCTTATTTCTACCTGACTCTGGGGTTTCTGTATCTACCTAGAGATTTGGGACATAATTGATTTTTGCTGCAGAACTGTCTGCAAGGTACAATGGGAGCGAGTTTGGCACATTCACATAGCATCAGAGGCCATGGATTAATAAAATGAAGTATTAGAGCTATTAAAATGTTAACACTATGGTTATGATGTTGTGATTAATGAAGTTCTTGTAAGCCTTGTAGTTACTATTGATGATAGTTACAATGTCACATGCCAGGTCAGATTTTGCTATTTTGCTTCTAAACAGAGTTTCTTTTTTTCTTTTTTTTTTGTGAGTTCACAGAAATCATATTACAACTCAATATAAATTTCGGTGCCACTGCTTTAAGTAGGAAATGCACCAAGGTACACCACCGTTCTGAAAACCCAAGGGCAACCACCGTGAGAATACCATAAGCTCTTTAGGTTTGGCAACTTACAACAGTAAAAATACATTGCATGTTATGATATTTAAAAATGGTGAACATGTGAACTTCTCTAAAAATCTAGACTTGTTGTCAAACTACTATCACATCTAATAATGATCATCAACAGATGTTTTTTTTAAAAAAAAGTGCAGTAGGCCCCCATGTTAAGCATAAGCGGTACCATGTGCCCTGCACAAGGGCATTGTCTTAGTCTCAGATACTTAGATTTGCTTAAGCCCTGCTACTTGCAGATTTTCCTCCCCGCCATAAATCTTTCTTGCTTAGAAATATTATAATGAGTTCTTCTCATTATCCATCCTTGTATCCAAAGTCCCTTTTAATCTTACTAAATTCTAAATCCCAAAGATGTTCTATGGCAATGAATTACACAATCATCATTCACTGAGAGGAATAAACATACTTGTCAATTTTTAGGTGTTACCTTTGATTCCACTAAATGTTATCTTTTGTTTCCCTTTGAGATAACAAAGAGAGCTCTCAAGCTTTTCTTTGTACTACTGCTTATTTTCTACTGTCATTTCCTTTGTAAGGGAATCAAGCTAAACCTTTTCAATAATTTATCATGTATAAATATTTCCATGCAACTTAGCTTCCCTTGAATGTTTGAGAGACTATAACAGCTACTGAAGTTAGATTGTAATAATATTTTCACTTTTCATTTTGAAGTTCTGTAGGCCCAATCTGTGTCCCAGCATGTTTTAGCTATTTTTAGCAAAAAACCTCCCATGTCAGCAAATTTTGAGTCAAGGTAGGGCAAGAACAAAGTAGCAGCAAAACTACAGGCAAATAAAGAAGTTTCACAATGCAAACAAGCACCTGTGAAAAGATCTACCCATTAACATTATAAAGAAATTGGCTTTGATTTCAACAAATTATAAGCATACGAAAATAGTGCAAGATGTAAATAAGGCATTAAAGCACTTTTAAAGATGTTCCATGGATACTTTTCAAAGCTTATTGTGATGCCCATTTCCTCTTTATCAAAGAATCAAAAAATGTACAGTCTAGTAAGGAGTAACAATTTTGTGAACTTACAATTTAATTTACAATTGCTTTTGAAATTTCAAGTTTCTCACTCTATGATTAAATGATTCAGACTGATCATTTACTTAAAAGCACCCAAAACCATCTCATCTTTGCTTATAAATAAATGAATTATAAATAAATTATCATAAATATTCACAAGGCAGTAAGTAAGCCCAGTGTTATCTTAATCCATTATCTTCAGACTGAATTACCATGCTATGTTTAAATAGGATGCATTCTTTGGAAATGACAGTTAGTTCAGAATATAGCTGTTGTCTTAAAACTCAACCTATATTAGCTTCTACTGTGTTGTCAGGTGTGATTTAAAGTGTCAATTACTGATATGTAATGACTCATAACACACAGTTTTCTGTGTCCTCCTGTCAGACCAAGGTTACTTTTGCTCACATCCTCTCAAGGGACTGGCCTGAGGGAGAAATAAGGAGTTCTCATTGAAAAGTCTTCATTCTGAAGATTATTTACCAATGTATCAACATCCTTTGAACTTGCCGACTTCTTGGATGCTTCATAAAGACTATTTATTTTCTTGTTTTACCAACAGATGGTATGAATTTCTAGGAGGAGATGCAAATTGCTTTTGCAAGTTGGTATTTTTATTTTCTGCTGCAAACACTATCTCTCTAGATGCAGTAAATGTACTTGTTTTAATATTTGAATATATGTTATCTTCTAGTAGGTAATAACATGTACAACTTGCTGTCCATTGAAGGAAAAAAAAAAAAGAAAGAAAACCAACCAAGCACCACTACAGTTTGGCATTACTGCAGAGAGAGTTTATTTTATTTGGCTTGGCACATATTCTTGCTACAAAGGAAGGTGGCTGCCAGCAGATGTTATAGCAAATGGAACAGGTCATCGACGCCAGAAAGCTACCTCCAACTCTGCACTTACCCTCATTTTAACCTTTTATTTTCCTCAATTTACTTCCCCTGACAAGACAATTATGTTTCAGTCTCTCCCATTCTCTACGCCTCGAACTCATTACACTTCTCCTCCTAATTCCTTCCCTTCTTGCTTCTCTCTTCCCACTTTCAAATCCCAAACCAGAGAATGTGCTGTCCTAATGCTCTAAGTCCACTCTAGATGCTTTTGAGTGTAGCTTACACATTACTCTTATCAAGCTCTCTGTACATTTATTGGCTAAAATTCAAAACAATTATTCCACCACTGTGTTTTGCATATTGGATGCCCTTGACATTGTTGATTATGTCTTTCCATTGGAAAACCTCTCTTCTCCAACATATTGCTGCTTTTCCCTGTTTGATGATTTTTTTTCCCCTTTTCCTCTTCAGTTGCAAAGCACCCCAGACTGAAACATCAAGACTTCCTTTATCTCTCTGATCCCAGTATTTCAGGGGATTCTCTCCTGTAAACAAGGCCATAGATATCTTTTTCTTACCATTAATGATTCATAAATACACATCTCTAACTTGGATTCTTTCCATTTGAGTTAGAGTAGTAATCCTGCTGTTCTAAAAATTACTCACAAGCCTCCAGACGTGAACTTAACATTGCCAAGATGAAACTTTGGTGCTAAAGTCTTCTCTTTGTGACTTCAACATAGCTAACAGCTCCACTGTCTTCCCTGATACTCTAAATCCATAATATTGGTTTGATCCTTGGAACATCACACTTTGACTCTCAGATTCCGGCCAGATACTAACCCAGGCTGTTTCTTCCTGCAAATCACCTCCAAAATGACAAACAAAAGTTTAAGTGTCTCACTCACTGATAATCTCTTATTTGGCTTCAGTGCCTGCAAGTCTTATTCTCTCTAACGGATCCTCATGAAATTATCTTCCCAGTTCATTACTTAATTGAATCATCTCCTGATATGTCTTCCCATTAACTTCCACTTTCATTTATATAACCCTTAAAACTTTAGACCTAATGCTTATGTTATTACATGACTGCTCCTGCTTTTGCCTTAATAGTATCAGCTTCAACTGCACAATTTCCAATAATAATTTATTTTTCTTTTCCCATCATCATTCCTTACGAGAAGAGATAAACTTGTAAGCAAAATCCTAAATCCATTCAAAATACCCCTCTTAAAACTCATAGATAAGATATATAACGAGGTATAACTTGAGAATGACTTTGCAAGCTATTTTACAGTCTATGACACATCCTTGCCCTGTCCCTTATCTTAGTGCCTGGTGCATCTTTCAGATCATACAGTACATACTCCTGTGTAAGTATCAAACAGCAAAAGCAGCAACCAAATAATTTTTGGGGAAAGAAATTAAGCTGTTAATATGATCTTGCACAAGAGTCAGACTCATACTCTTCCAGTATGATGTATACAGAAAGATTTTACAGACTTCTGATTTTGGGGTTGAAGATAGAAACAACAGAAGACATTCTCAGCTATGGAAAATTCCATTATCTGCATTTGCCATTTTGAAGGAAAATGTTGGTAATTTTTAGTCTTAGAATGTATTAATTTTTTAGTAGGGTAAAACCCTCAAACCTTTGACCGCTGTCTGTCTCTTCCTTGCTAATTTCTGTTACAGACTTGAAATTAGCAAGACCAGACAAATTTTAAGACATTATACACCAAAACTTTTTATGGACTGCTGGATTTGTTACTGGACTAGTCTTTTAGCTCAACAGGCCACCTTTTATGATTCTATGATTCTATGATTTTATGAAGTATAATGAAATAAAATCATAGAAATCGGTTGTTGAGTAATCAGTCTAGAGAGACAGAATAGAATTTCTTGTGCAGGTATACAAATGTATTTCAATAGCTACATGACTCTGTATTTATGTGAGATGATAAAACAACTGCCACCCCTTTATCTTGTCTACATGGAGTATTTAATGTAATATTGGCTGTACGGTTGTTCTATGAAAACTACCTTATAAAGAGATGAATAAGAGGCATCCTGGAGACCTAATTACATATAAGCACTGCAGTTAATTAAGATACATACAGCTCATCTGTTGAACAGTCATTTTTGCAAAATTAATTATAGCTTTGTTCATCACATTCTGCAGTGATGAATGCTAATATTTAAATTGAGTATCACTATAATTCAAAATTTAAAGATATTAAAAACATTAATTTTCATAGCTCTCTTTGATGTATGTATTTTTATACCTACTTTACATTCCCCATTAAAGATCAGAGGCATGGGATGGTTCCCCAAAGCCAAATACTCAAGTACCAAACCAAGATTAAAATTTTAGATTTTACAGCATCAATCCAATTGGTACTCTTTTAAACCACATTGCTCTTCTGAAAACATGGAAGAATTAATCAATAACTACAACCAGGCAGTTCCATTGCAAAACAAGAAATGCTTCATATAAGTAGATGTACAGTGAAATGAACATAAAACCAAAGAAAGATACTATCATAAAGAACATAACATTGTTGAAAAATCATTTCTAAGGACCAATCTGCCCCCATGTAAGTCACTGAGGTTTTCTCATTGACTCTTTTGGAAGAAAACAGATTTGAAATATCTCTATAATAAAGATAATTTTCAAAATTAAGCATGGTTGACATCACAAAATGTAATAAGTTTGCATGCATGCTGAATGTGTTTAAAAAAACACATTACAAAGCACAAACACATGGGTTTAAGTCAGGCATAGTCCAGTCATGATAAAGCTATTTGCCTAACCTTTATAGAACTTACTCTGATAGGAAGTACGGATCCGTTTCGTTAAATCTGGATAAAAGTTAGACAGGCCACGCATGCAAAAGTTGTCTTTGGAACATGCCAGTACACCAGCATCAGCAGCAGGCAGAGGAAAGAGAGAAAAAACAGTCTAAAGTGAAAGGAAGTGATATCATAACCAGCATCTAGAACAGCCAAGGTGAAGAAATTTCAGCAGATGCTTACCTTCCAATTGGGAAATATAACAAGGAAAATAACCAAAAAAGTAAAGGACGTGGGATGGATGGTGAGAAAGCAGCTGAGGCTTTATTTAGATGCGTAGTTTCTATGAGCAATCTAGAAGTGTGTATTCCTTATTGCTATACCAGCTACCCTCCACCTTTTGTACAGGGCTCTATAGGATGTTACTTGTGGGTAGCTGCTCAAATTACTTTGGGAGCTGCTGTGAGGCTGGCTGAACAAGACAGAGAAGCTGAAGGTAGCTTAGAGCTGCTTGTCCCTTCTCTCCTCAGCTGTGCCAAATTTATATCCTTAACATTTGGCACAGGTGAGGATTAAGCTTGCCATGATTAAAGGCCTAGAAAGTGACATAAATGGTCTTTCAGGAACAGAAATAGGCCTAAAGACTTACATTTTATTCTCTATATTTCAATTTCTATTTGGTGTGCAAACATTCTCAATTAAAAAACAAGTTTCCATTGACAGGATTTCAAGATTTAGTGCAGGGTCTGCTGATGAAAATGCCAATGTCATAAACTCACTATAATCTGCTGCTTTTACCATTTTATGGTTAGATTTAAAACTCAACATTTTAAAGCAGATTTTTAAATCTCATTTTAAAACATCACAGCTATGTAAAACACATTTCATAATTGTGTCTGACTCTAGAACGTTACTATGGAATATGAAAGTAAAAAGACTTGAAACAGAAGATCTTTGGACTTTTTTCTCATACAAGTAAATTTTTTAGATAATCAAAAATGTGTGGTAAAATTGATGGCCTAATATTTCTAACACACAATGCATAATAATACCTCTGACTTAAAACTGTGATCCTCTTGGTGTGAAATTTTAAAATGGGATCCAGCTGGATTTAGTAAGTTTATACCAAGAGCTTCAATTCACTAAGAAAGTCACTAATTTGAGCTCCCTGTGCTACCTACATAATTCTCCAAGCACAACTGCCTGTTCAAATACCAATGAATAGCACTTGGCAGAAGACACAATTACATTTAAATTGAAATCTTACCTATTGGTATGAACTTATCAAAGCCAGGAAGAAAATAGCATACAGACTACACTTCAAGTGACTGCCAGAGAAACCATTTACTGCTCTGCTCATTATGATTTTTTACAGACTCAGCTAAGGGAATTACTTGCTGACCTCCATCCCAAAAGAATAAACTTCATATAACATTTTGTTTCTGAGAAAATGTCAGTACCTAAAGCACATCAGGTTTCTTTTGTCAAGTTATAGAAACTCCATTGGCCGGCAAATAGTCATGCATTTCAAAAGCACTATAAAAAGCCACAGGCAAAAAAACCAAAGAACATATCAGGCTCATAAACACAATAATTTATTTCCTACCTGCAGCAAACTGCTTGCTTTTGCGAGGTGAACGGGGCTGACGCTGGTATGGATCGCTTGATCCATACAGGTCCAGGGTTCCCATGCTCAGCAGTACTGTCCTCTGCATGAAGTCCACAACGGCCAAACCATTGCAGTTTCCAAATGCCACTCTGAGAAAAGAAATGTTCCTCAAATGTATTAGTAATATGTAATTAAGTGGTGCAAACAATAATTATTATTATGAATTCTGCATAAACATTTTCTTCAGGAACTACTCAAAGCTTACATTTTGTAATTCTTACAGATCTGTAATCCAAATTTTTAAAATTTTGTCCTGAAACACAGAAAGTGATTTCCCAGAAAGCAGACTCTCCACTTTAATTAACTTTCCATGCCAAACCCATTGCAATAATGTCTAAATGTTGCTTTACTAAACAATGTATTTCCAGTAATAAAGATGTAAATTAAGCCTAGAAATCTGGATGTAGATCTTAAAAAGTGGTTATACATATATATGTAATACGTATATAAATTAAAACATAAATATAAACAAATGTATAAAAATTATTTTAATCTAAATATAAATGATAAATGAAACATATTAAGCTGTATTGTGGAGATACCCAAATACGAAAAGCATTTATAAAATCTCCTTCCAACTCTGTCAGCTTGGCTACAGCACGGATTTGTGCTAAAACAGTCTCTACCTCTTTGAAATGCTTCTACAAATGGCATTTTGATGTGGTTTGATTTATGGGCAAGATCTCTGAACTGGTGTGCAATTGCCCAAGATCTGGGCTGCGGTCTTCTATAAGGAAAAACAGAAAGAACAATTTATTTCTTTTGCTGCCTAGAAAGTCCCTTTCAAAGCATTCTGCCCCAATTATTCTTTATTGCTTCTACTGATTTCCTTCTGACACCAGTTTCAGAAAGAGGGAGGAAGCTGTATTGGACCAGCAGCACTTTCTCCTCCTCTCCCATAAAATCTTTTTCTGGTCTTGCTTTTTCCTCAGCTTGGAAGGGGTGGAGGCTGAGGGGGGAAAAGAAGAAGACAGTGCATCTATCTAAGGAAAAGAAAGAAAAAAGGGAAAAGGAAGAAAACAAAAAGACTCTAAACATGTCTATATGTAAGACCTGGGAGAAAGTCTGAAGTTAACCAAAGCACATGGAAACCCATACATGTCAGCAGATAATATCTTTGCATCATATTCTCACTAATGCATTAAACCTATTTAAGATTAAATATTAAAACGGACAAGTAAAATTGACTCATTTCTTTCTGATTTAAATAATGGCAAATAAATTCACAGAGCATATGGCTATTGAAAGGATCCATATGCTAAACTCTTGACACGGCATTGTTGGTGACTTCATTTAAGCAGGAATATTATATACTGACAATTATTTTACAGAAGTGTCTCCTTTTCTATCAGAATGCAATTTTAACTTTTTGCTAGAAAGGATTAAAGGTACACACACAAGAAAACTCAAAAGCCCAAAACACGCTCCATCAGATTAGGAATAATTTGTGGTCAAGTTCCATCATTTTCTGTAAAAAGTAATTAAGGCAGGCAGTTCATAGTCCTGCAAAGTATTTAAGCACTGAGATTCATACTAAAAGTGAGCCATGCACTCAACTCCACCTGATTTTTCTTAATATAGCTCCACAATATCTTAAAGGACATATATGAATTCGTGTGTGGAAAAACAATAAGGAAAGAAAAGTAACAAGATAGCAGAAGGGGAAGCAGGGTAGATAGAACATTTTCCTCTATTGTACCTTTTCTTCCTCTGCTTCCATTATAAAAAAAGAGGGTTCCATATAGCAAATAGAAAAGGTAAAGGGGGAAAATTAGGTGAGTTTTTCTTTTTTGTTAAAATGGCAAATTAAGACACTATCTACAAGAGTAGATCAAATTCGACTGGTTGTTACTACACCATGTTTTCTACCCTTGACTTAACACTGTCTTTACTACAGCATCTGTGTATACACTATGAACATACTCTTTTACTCCCCAATGACTCTTCATTGACCTGTAGCTTAAGAAACTACTAATATACACCAGCTTAAAGTGTGTACAAATACACTTTTATTTGGCAATATATTGTGCTTATGTGGAAAGGACCTAAGGTGCACTGAGGAATAAACTCCATGTTTTATGAACGTCGAGTAATACCCGTTTCAATAATTACTAAAGCTTGTTTTGTTTAACAGAAGAACAAAATAATTTTTAGAGAGTTTCTCTGGGACAAAAAGGAACTCTGTCATAACTGCCAGAAAACCATTCTGTTTCATATGTCTTCATGTTTCTAGACACAAATTGACTGATAAAGACTAGTAAAAGGTTATTTTGTTATTTGTTTTTGACAGTCTTGTATTTTGCTTTAAAGCATATGTTAATAGGTATTGTCAGAGAAAGGATATTGAAGTAAAAAAGATTACTAGTGTAAAGTGTGATAGTAATTCCTATGATAATAATCCCTGTATTCTAGATGGAGAAGAAAAATAAAGGAACAAAAATTATGAGTGTCAATCTCATCTGTTGGTACTTTAGGAAAAAAAAATAATGCCATCTGCATTTTGAAAATGATTAACCTGAGATTTATTTATTTTGGAAAATGTCAGTCACAGGAAGAGCTAGTGATTGTCTACTGTATGGTCAGCAAATCTACAGAATGGATCAACACTTCCTGGGCTGCGTGTTTCTAGACTCTGAGTTCACACGCCAGCATGGATATAGCATAAAAAATTACTTTACCAAGAAAAATCAGAAATTGCTCATTGATGTTATAACACTTCTGAGGAAAGATAAGAAAACCTAGATAGACGTTACTATTAACAAGGCTTAAGATAAATTGTTAACATCCTATCTTGATGAAATCAAATACAAAATAAGCGTAATGAATTTCTCAAATTTGAGTGATAACTAGAATTAGTTGCTAGGAGATGTTCTATTTTGTGGGTATCTTTCATAGAAATTTCCTAAATTCCATGTTAGGTATTTCTTGATAATTAATACGTAGATTGGCTGAAAATTTTTATCAGATGAGCTGGTAAGAAATTTTCAGACTGTTTTCAGTCCAGCAGAACATACTTTAAAACAAATTTATTACTTGTATTTAACCTTGTAGATCTTCAGTTGTAATAGAAACATTTTGTAATATTTTATTTTCTACTTTCATAACATAAAGAAGATTTGGATGATTCATTTAAACAGAAATAAAACAGGTGTTAATACTTCTAATTTGTAGCTTGGTACTGTTAAAAGTAAACAAAATAGTCCTGTTTCACAGCGCAGTAACATCAGGAACACTAAGTCCCTATTATTTGTAACATACAGTTAGAGAAATCAAAGTAATTAAAAAACCTTGGAAACAGACACCCCGGAACATACTTACTATCCTATGCCTTCCTCCTAGTTAAACTGATTAATATAGGGAAATAATTCAGGCAAAAGATGACCCAAATAACGTTACAACTAGCATGGCAAAAATGTCATATCCTTAAGCTTCATGATGAAGTGACACAGTTTTTCCACACTCTGAGGCTAAGGTATTAAACACAAATTCTGCTGAAAGACTGTACTTTGTCATAGGCCCAAGGAAAAAGTTGAGAGAGACAAGAGAGAGGGAAAAGACTCTGCAGAAAATATTTAAAGAAACAGGCCTTTCTTGGGTAGCTTTTGTAGGAAAGCTAGATTTAGGTTATTGGGCTATTTTACTGACACATGCATTTATTTCTGAAACACTTATGTACTTAGTATATGGTGTTTTAAAGGAGGCTGTCCTGTAAACTATTACTGCTCCCAACAAAGGAAACAATTTAAAGCATTTGATTGAATCAGGTGTGTTTAGGAAACCACTGTGAGTACTGGGAGAGCTGCAACCTGTCAGAGTAGTTTACAAGTGAGAGAATGGTGCGATTATTCCTGAAGTCAGATGCTGCCTTGAGGCCTGAGACGTGCAAGGGAACAAATTAAGTCATAGCGAACAATTTCCACAAGTGATAAATGCATGGCTATGGTAAAACAAAAGAAACTTCCAGAATTCATGAATAGGAAACTGCCTGGAAATTCAGGCCAAAGACTTGATAAAACAGCCCCAAAGTGACACTATTTTCACACAAATGTAAAGACTATGCATAAAATTTCCAAAGTCTCTCAAGAGAGTCAAGTGACTTACTGAAAATCAGTAGGAGTCAAATGCCTAACACCCATTTGAGCTTATAGTTTTTATTGGAGTAACACCTTCTACAGGGAAAATAATTTTAATGTATCTGAGCAAAAAAATACACACAGATATGCTCATTTGCACTTCCATACAGAATTTAGCATTTGAATGTTATTCCATTTTCCATTTCAGGTCACTGGCTCTCTTGCAGAGATTAGCACAGACATAAAAATGCTGTTCTCATAAGACAATTTCCAACTAGATATGATGTAATGATAAATGACATTGAACACTTAATCACATCACCATTTCTACAAAATGTATTTCACCTTGGTGATCCTTTCAAAATAACTTTAAAAACTGCAGATTTGAAAGGTAATTAGATTTTATTTGAAAGGATGGACAGAATAATGTGAAAAGCTCTAGTCTTTTAAATAGGAATAGTAAAAATATTGGCAAGAATGGCAGTTCAACATCTCATATTACAATCTTTATGTGAGTTCCAATAATTTTTCCCCAAGAATCTAGGTTATAGCACCTTTTGATTATTTTAATCTGACTTTAGTTGTCTGTAGGAAACTTCAAACTCTAATTGGAAAATACATGATTTAGTGCAATAAAAAAATACATCAATTCAACCTTAATTTTGAATTACTTACAGTCCATAAGCAGAGTTTACGGCAAGACTGGTAATCTGCTGTGGAGGCTCACCATCCACCCACACCAACTGAATAACAAGATCTGCTTGGTATCCAGGAGGCATTCGCACAGGTCGAGTCTTAACGCTAAGAAGAAGAGGTATAAAATAAGAACAAACAGACCAAGCCATGAATAACAACTGCTTCTCTTGAAAAAATACTAGTGAAGCACAATCCCTTAAATAGTCTAGAGCAGTACCAAGACTTGCAGCATACTCTGCATATACCCGTACTTTTGAGACCAGGCGTTCCAATCACAACAGGGATATTTTGGAGGAATTCCAAAATACTTTCTTCTGGAACTTTAAAATGGGACATTTCTGTATTTTTGGAACTTTCTTGCTCTGAAGTAAAGCATGCCAGAAAAATGCAAAGAGGCAAGAGAAGATGAGAAGATGTACCTTTCTGCAGCGGTCTTCAAGTAAAGCATGACAGAAAAATGCAAAGAGGCAAGAGAAGGTGAGAAGATGTACCTTTCTGCAGCGGTCTTCACCATTGCATATTCAAAACTTACGTACTGGACAATTTTATTTGTTCATCTAGTGTAAATTAAGTCACCTAATACATGATCCGGTCTTAATGAATGAATGCTTCCTACATAAACTCTGATATAATGATTAAGATATTCATATTTTGTTCTGGAAAGTTCAGTGACTTGCAAAGCAGGTAGTGAAAGTGTACATATTAAGGGGAGTGTAAGAACGGAACACTCCTGTATGACTGCTTTATGTGTGTTCTTGACTGGTAGAACAACGTGATGATACACTGAAAGAAGAAATTATGCAATAATAGCAATTCTTTGAGGTATTCATGTTATTCATTAGTACATTCACACTGTAGGTAGTAATTTATACATAAAACCCACTAGCCATTGCACTTTTATTATAGCTGTAAATTATAAGGCTGCTTATATTGCATCACTCTGCACACAGTCATAAGGCAGTCTATCACATATAATCCTCTATCCCTGTGAAAAACAGTACCCAAAGAAAGAGTAAGAATCAGGAGAGGAAGGAAAGTAGGCATATATCCTCTATCCGTGTGAAAAATAGTACCCAAAGAGAGTAAGAATCAGGAGAGGAAGGAAAGTAGCTAGTTAATATAGACATGGACACTATACTCTAAAGAACTGCAATTTTTGGCACATAATATTTCTTTCTGCTGTAAGCACTTCTCTATACATATATCTCTACCATCAATAACTTAAGTAGTATTATCCTATGTACGGGATCAAAGAGAAAAGATCTTTGATGACTATCTCCTGAATGTGAATATCACGTGACTCAACAAGCTTTCCAAGCAGCCTTGGCCCATACACCTGATGGATCAGATTGGAAAAAACCCCAACTAATTTCTAATCAGAACAAGTAAGTAAGCACTTCTTTCAAGAGAGGATATTAAAAATTATCATACAATAAACCGAGTGCTATCAGGTTTTTCGTAGCTACACTGACTGCATCTGTTGGGACAGAGGCCTTGATGGCAAATGAAGGCTACTGGCAATCTTGGAAAATTAAAAATAGATGCAGAAAAGTGAAGTAAAATGAAGTAAAACAACCACAGGATGACACTGGGGCAAAAATTCTGAAGAAGATAACTCCAGCAGCACAATGGACAATGTACAAAGCAAATAGTGCTCTAATTCTGATAGAAGTTAAGAAGAACAGAGGACTGTGCAACACCTCTCACACTTTTATGGTCTGATAAGAGAAAAGACTGGACATGGATGTACCTTATGACACAAGAGAGAAAATCTCCAGCTCAGTGTTAGCAGTAGAAGCACTTCAAGATACTTTCTGGGAAAGTTCTTAAAGCATAAGGACTATTTTCTTAATAAGACCTTAATATCTGTGGTAAGTTAACCTCAGTCAGCTGCCAGGTGCCCACCCAGCTGCTTTCTCGCTCCCCCTCCTCAACAGGACATGGGAAGAAAATAAGATGAAAAAGCTCATGGGTTGAGATGTACCTTATGACACAAGAGAGAAAATCTCCAGCTCAGTGTTAGCAGTAGAAGCACTTCAAGATACTTTCTGGGAAAGTTCTTAAAGCATAAGGACTATTTTCTTAATAAGACCTTAATATCTGTGGTAAGTTAACCTCAGTCAGCTGCCAGGTGCCCACCCAGCTGCTTTCTCGCTCCCCCTCCTCAACAGGACATGGGAAGAAAATAAGATGAAAAAGCTCATGGGTTGAGACAGGACGGGGAGATTGCTTACCAATTACTGTCACAGGCAAAACAGAATCAACTTGAGGGAAATTAGTTTAATTTATCGGCAATTAAAATAGAGCAGGAGAGTAAAAAATTATTTGAAAAGACAAAATTAAAAATATCATCTTCCCACCCCTCCCTTTTTTTCCAGGCTCAATTGCACTGCTGACTTGTCTACCTTCTCCCCCACCCCAAGCAGCCCAGCGGGGATGGGGAACAGTGATTTCGGTCAGTCCGTAACACTGTGCCTGCCACTCCTTCCTCACGCTTTTCCCCTGCTCCAGTGTGCAGGACGGGGAGATTGCTTACCAATTACTGTCACAGGCAAAACAGAATCAACTTGAGGGAAATCAGTTTAATTTATTGGCAATTAAAATAGAGCAGGAGAGTAAAAAATTATTTGAAAAGACAAAATTAAAAATATCATCTTCCCACCCCTCCCTTTTTTTCCAGGCTCAATTGCACTGCTGACTTATCTACCTTCTCCCCCACCCCAAGCAGCCCAGCGGGGATGGGGAACAGTGATTTCGGTCAGTCCGTAACACTGTGCCTGCCACTCCTTCCTCACGCTTTTCCCCTGCTCCAGTGTGGGGTCCCTCCCAAGGGATACAGTCCTTCAGGAAGAGACAGCTCCAGCGTGGCTTCCTCATGGACCACAGTTTCTGCCAGAAAACCTGCTCCTGAGTGGGGTCCTCTCTAAGGGATAGAGTCCTTCAGGAAGAGACAGCTCCAGCATGGCTCCCTCACGGGCCACAGTTTCTGCTGGAAAACCTGCTCCTGAGTGGGGTCCTCTCTATGGGCTGCAGCTCCTGCTAGGACTCTTTTCTGACACAGGCTCTCCATGGGCTGCAGGGGGACAACCTGCATCAGCATGGTCTCCTCCACGGGCTGAAGGGAAATCTCTGCTCCAGCACCTGGAGTGCTTCCTCCGCCTCTCCTTCTCTCATCTTGGTGTCTCCAGGACTGTTTCTCATGCTTTTTTCTTGCTCCTCTCTCACAGCTGCTGTGAAGCATTTTTTGCCCTTTCTTAAATTTATTTTCCCAGAGGTGCCACCCTCTTGGCTGAGGGGCTCACCCTGTGGTGGGTCAGCTGGAGCCATCTGGAGCCATCTGTGTACAGCATGGATAGTGCTCTGCACAGGGGGCACCTGGCAGCTCCCCCTGACAGCCCCTGGGCACCTGCACCTGATACATCTTTGGTAACTGCCTCTTCAAAATACATTCACACCCTGTCTCAAACTGTTTAACCATTTCAGTAATACAGTTTATGTTGTACTGCTGCTATTTTTATTGTAGAGGGCTCACTAGCCTTGCCAAATCTTTCCCTTATTTACTATTTAATGAGAAAGGCACTCCTCATCCATCTTTCTAAATGCATTTCCTTAACAGCAGCTTGGCACACTATTCTATTTCTTCTGCCTGTTGTACTGTTCAGACCTTACATATCCATTTATCCAGAGCAGTAATCAGCCACTTGGCTCAGACCTTCTCATAGGAAAGACGTGACAGCACAGTTCATCAAGCGGGATGCTTTTTCTCCTGTCCTTCCTCTGTCCTCACTGCCCAGGACCAGCTGAGAGAACAGACCTCTCAGCCACCAGTCTGGACTATCACTCCTCCCTTCCCCACTCAGGGTTGCTGCAGTCACAAGAGCAAAAGGAAAGCACTCAACAGCCACAGTCTTGACCCATCCTGGAAGGGAATCTCATTGTGACAACGTGTACATAGTGGAGATGAACAGCACTTTATGTGCCTGCTTAGAAACAAAAAAGTAACCACTTTCATTTCCTTGCATAAGGAGTCTTGTTACCCAAGGTAACAAGGTGACAGACCTTGGTGACCAAGGTGTTGGTTGGTGACAGACTGCAATAGATACAGCAACATACTACAACTCTAGCACACCAAAAAATCATGGGAGCCACAAAGCAGTGCTGGTTGCAGTGAGATAAGACTTTCTGAAGTGTGGGTTGACCGAGCCAGAGTAAGCAGGTGGTGTAGCAGGGTGCACAAGACACCTTCTTGGAACTAATACATGGCTTTGTTAAGCCTGGAGAGAGGAAGCAGCAGAAACAGGAGGTGGTGCAAGTGAAGCGCCAGCTGGTGCTGCTGGTGAAAGAGCTTAACAGTTTGTTGTTAGAAGTGTGATGTCTTTCACAATCATCTGCAACTTTCTCAGGTCCTGCAACCTCTTCAAACTCCACAGCCCTATCAGAGTATACCTATTATACTTGAGGATATGGGATCACATATCTGGGTATCACATACCTGGATATCACAGCAGAATATATGCAGCATTTCAGGATTGGTAATGAGACCTTCACTTGGATCTCCGAGACATAAGCATCTCCTCTCCTCTTCATGACCTTGACCTGCTCCTGCCTTTCCCCCTCTCTGCCTGCAGAAGCACATAGGCTGTGTGGCAAGGTTTTGGCAGTGGGGGTTGCAGGGGTGGCCTCTGTGAGGAGAGGCCGGGGGCTGCACCATGCCAGACAGCCTCATTCTAGCTGGTTCCAACTGGCTCTGCCACGGACCTGTAGCAGGACACAGCTGAGCCAAGCTGGTGGCACCTCTGGGAAAACAAAGTTAAGAAAGGGCAGAAAATACTGCCTGGGAGCAAGACGCGAGGAAAAAAAAGCGAGAAACAACTCCAAGTACCAGTTACAGAAGCAGAGACTCCCCTGCAGCCCATGGAGAGAACCGTGATGGAGCAGATAACCACACTACAGCCCATGGAGGACCCTATGGTGAAGCAAGTAGATATTTCCTGAAGAAACTGTGGCTTTTGAACACTGGAGCAGGTTTATCCTGAAGGACTGTACCTCATGGGAGGAACCTGGCACCAGAGCAGGGAAAAGTGTGAGGAATGATGGAGCAGATAACCACACTACATGGAGGCCCTGGAGGGGCCCATGGAGGACCCTATGGTGAAGCAAGTAGATATTTCCTGAAGAAACTGTGGCTTTTGAACACTGGAGCAGGTTTATCCTGAAGGACTGTACCTCATGGGAGGAACCTGGCACCAGAGCAGGGAAAAGTGTGAGGAGGAAGGAGCAGCAGAGAGGAGCTGTTATGGACTGACCACAACCACCATTCTCCATTGCCTCTGTGCTGCAGGGGATGGAGTTGGAAATGAAGGAGTGAAGCTGAGAAAAAGAGGGAGTGGGGAACAGGTGTTTTAATTTTTGTTTCTCAAGTTAAGTCTGTTTTGCCTATGACAGTAACTGGTAAGTGATTCCCTGTCTTTATCTTAACCCATGAGCTTTTCCATCTTATTTTCTTCCCCTTGTCCTGTTGAGGAGAGGGAGTGACAGAGTGGCCGTGTGAGCACATGGTAGCTAGCCAAGGTCAACTCACCACAGTTGGCAATAGCATAAAAAGTCAACAGCATCATCCAGGTCTCTACTGGGTTTTCTGTGTTTCCAGCACTAGTTTCATTTTGTCATCATAATTCAGCTTAAAACCGAAGTTTTTGACAGACAAGGAACGTGGACCTAGCTAGGCTTTGGGGGAAAACTGTGGATTTTTATATGCCTTTGTATGCCAGGAGTTCTAGTGGTATAATTACTTTGAATTTGAAAAATCAATTATCTGTCAAAATATGTTTACGTTTATTTTGTGTAAAATGGGACAAAAAATGGTAGGCCTGTTTAATGTGAGATTATATGGAGTTAAGCAAACTTCTAAAAACTAACCAGCAGAACCTCTACTGGTTCATTACAGCATTTCTGCCTCCAACATCAACAATTCCTTTCCTCCTCAGACCAAATCAGATAAAAATCCCTTAAGGGAAAATCCTAGCCATTGAAATAATCGATTGTATTCTTGCTGATTTCAATTTCAGAAATAGATTTCGCATTGGGATTTTTTTTAATAACTTCTGTCTCTTCTATTGATTTTCATGGTTTACATTAATGATTAAACTGAGGTCTGAGGTTCAACTGCATGACTGAACGAGGTGGACAAATGAACAGAATGCCAAAAAACACTGCTCATTTTACAAGAACAATGTTAAGATATTGCCTTTAAATGCTTATGTTTTTTCAGGAGCTCAATAGTATCTGCAAAGTCAGACAATGTTAATTTAAACTGTTTTTGAAATAACTGAGGCATTTAAAATATTTAATAATAATTAGACCGAAATAATAATGACTTCACTAAAATGAGAGCAATTGTTATCAGCAGTACACTATAATTGCTGGAAAATTACAGTTTATGGAGTTTTGCATGGAATTCTGTTTTGAAACTATTCAAACCCATAATTTATCTGCCTTATTAGAAAGAACATATTCATCTACTCCAAACAGCAGTAATGTGTGCTTTGGAAGACAACACTTTGCTTCTTTCTAAAGATTAACGATGTATATACTTCCACACAGTGCAAATGTTTCGTAATTGTATATTTTAAAGATTGTTTCGTGAGTATGAACACAGTTTTCATCCCTTACACACTACAAAAGGGATATACTTTCACAAAGAAAGATTTTAGTGTTAGACTAATTAATCAAGGAGGGAAAGCCTTGTTTTATGGAAGTTTCTCTGAAATTACTTGATTTATTCTGCAGTGTTTGTATTCCTTTCAAAACTGTGTGTATGGGATGAAGATTTACTCCTAGATCATACTGGAAAACTACAAAATTTTACTGTAACAGTTTAGCTTCTCCATAATTACGTCTAGCCTTTTAAAATCCCTTGTTAGTTATTTTGCCTTAATTCTTTTGTTTGTTCCATGTTCTGGTTTCTTCTCATTTTGTGTTGCGTATATACAATTAACCTCTTTTTCTTGATAACTGATGGATTCTTAATACAACAGAGAAATGCTTTTTAGAAAGACAAATCTTTGAACAATGGTGCAGACTTACCTAAGACACGGGATACTATCCTTCATTGTTCCTTCACATGCTACGGTGTTGGTACTGCCTGAAAGGCTCTTTAAAGAAGGAAGCTGGGAGGAGGCATCTGGAAATGGAGGAATTATTTCCGGTTCAGGAGTAATGATATCTTCTACTTCATACTGAAGTCGTACCTCTAATGACTTAAATAAATAAAAAGCTAAGTTATAATTTAATAAAGAAAGCTTCCTCCCATTTACCACAGCAATAACATTACAAAACTGATGTCAGGCAGTCAAACCAACACGGGGTCTTTAAAAGGCTGGGATTTGTAGACCGAACTCAAGGTCAGTAAACTGAACTCAAGCTGCTACAGAAGGGAGGACCCTAAGTGCTAGAACTTGTGCTGACTTCAGGTAGCAAAGAAATCCTGAGACTGACCAGCTCAGTCTCAGTATAAACAAAGCCAGACAGCCTCAGGTCAGGTACATATTCCAACAAAGAGTCCCATACTTTTCATTAAGAAACCTCCCACCATTCAAGAGTGAAGACTTGAATGCCTGCAGCAAAAATGCGGAAACAAAGAGATGAGCCCATCTCAGAGATGCACAAAACCCAGGGGAGCTCAGTGACTACGCTATCGAGATTAGATAGTATTAAAGCAACTCTTCAGAGAACGATTCCTCATATAAATGATCCTTAATTACAGATGAAATCTGAGAAACTGTTAAATTGCACATATTATAACACTTTCGAAAATACCAGTTCTGATGCAATTCAGCCACAAAAGTAAAAGACAGGAAAATAAAGAAATTAAATGATAGGTAATAAAAGATAAGGTGCATTTGCTATGGAACAATGTAAGAATACTGAAATGTAGTACTTTTAACAGCATTATAGGTGGTCAGTAACATGATTACTTTGAATTTGAAAAATCAATTATCTGTCAAAATATGTTTACGTTTATTTTGTGTAAAATGGGACAAAAAATGGTAGGCCTGTTTAATGTGAGATTATATGGAGTTAAGCAAACTTCTAAAAACTAACCAGCAGAACCTCTACTGGTTCATTACAGCATTTCTGCCTCCAACATCAACAATTCCTTTCCTCCTCAGACCAAATCAGATAAAAATCCCTTAAGGGAAAATCCTAGCCATTGAAATAATCGATTGTATTCTTGCTGATTTCAATTTCAGAAATAGATTTCGCATTGGGATTTTTTTTAATAACTTCTGTCTCTTCTATTGATTTTCATGGTTTACATTAATGATTAAACTGAGGTCTGAGGTTCAACTGCATGACTGAACGAGGTGGACAAATGAACAGAATGCCAAAAAACACTGCTCATTTTACAAGAACAATGTTAAGATATTGCCTTTAAATGCTTATGTTTTTTCAGGAGCTCAATAGTATCTGCAAAGTCAGACAATGTTAATTTAAACTGTTTTTGAAATAACTGAGGCATTTAAAATATTTAATAATAATTAGACCGAAATAATAATGACTTCACTAAAATGAGAGCAATTGTTATCAGCAGTACACTATAATTGCTGGAAAATTACAGTTTATGGAGTTTTGCATGGAATTCTGTTTTGAAACTATTCAAACCCATAATTTATCTGCCTTATTAGAAAGAACATATTCATCTACTCCAAACAGCAGTAATGTGTGCTTTGGAAGACAACACTTTGCTTCTTTCTAAAGATTAACGATGTATATACTTCCACACAGTGCAAATGTTTCGTAATTGTATATTTTAAAGATTGTTTCGTGAGTATGAACACAGTTTTCATCCCTTACACACTACAAAAGGGATATACTTTCACAAAGAAAGATTTTAGTGTTAGACTAATTAATCAAGGAGGGAAAGCCTTGTTTTATGGAAGTTTCTCTGAAATTACTTGATTTATTCTGCAGTGTTTGTATTCCTTTCAAAACTGTGTGTATGGGATGAAGATTTACTCCTAGATCATACTGGAAAACTACAAAATTTTACTGTAACAGTTTAGCTTCTCCATAATTACGTCTAGCCTTTTAAAATCCCTTGTTAGTTATTTTGCCTTAATTCTTTTATTTGTTCCATGTTCTGGTTTCTTCTCATCTTGTGCTGCATATATACAATTAACCTCTTTTTCTTGATAGCTGATGGATTGTATATACAACAGATGAATCCTTTTTAGAAAGACAAATCTTTGAACAGTGGTGCAGACTTACCTAAGACACGGGATACTATCCTTCATTGTTCCTTCACATGCTACGGTGTTGGTACTGCCTGAAAGGCTCTTTAAAGAAGGAAGCTGGGAGGAGGCATCTGGAAATGGAGGAATTATTTCCGGTTCAGGAGTAATGATATCTTCTACTTCATACTGAAGTCGTACCTCTAATGACTTAAATAAATAAAAAGCTAAGTTATAATTTAATAAAGAAAGCTTCCTCCCATTTACCACAGCAATAACATTACAAAACTGATGTCAGGCAGTCAAACCAACACGGGGTCTTTAAAAGGCTGGGATTTGTAGACTGAACTCAAGGTCAGTAAACTGAACTCAAGCTGCTACAGAAGGGAGGACCCTAAGTGCTAGAACTTGTGCTGACTTCAGGTAGCAAAGAAATCCTGAGACTGACCAGCTCAGTCTCAGTATAAACAAAGCCAGACAGCCTCAGGTCAGGTACATATTCCAACAAAGAGTCCCATACTTTTCATTAAGAAACCTCCCACCATTCAAGAGTGAAGACTTGAATGCCTGCAGCAAAAATGCGGAAACAAAGAGATGAGCCCATCTCAGAGATGCACAAAACCCAGGGGAGCTCAGTGACTACGCTATCGAGATTAGATAGTATTAAAGCAACTCTTCAGAGAACGATTCCTCATATAAATGATCCTTAATTACAGATGAAATCTGAGAAACTGTTAAATTGCACATATTATAACACTTTCGAAAATACCAGTTCTGATGCAATTCAGCCACAAAAGTAAAAGACAGGAAAATAAAGAAATTAAATGATAGGTAATAAAAGATAAGGTGCATTTGCTATGGAACAATGTAAGAATACTGAAATGTAGTACTTTTAACAGCATTATAGGTGGTCAGTAACATGAAATTACTGTTCTTTAGTTTTAAAACTTTCCTGAAAGGATACGTTCAGCTAGCTTAATAATTGCCTCTGGGGGAAAAAATGAGAAGAAAACAAGAGAACAGCTATAAGTAATGAATTTCCTTACCAGATGGCACATGGCTACAGGCCAAAAATAACACATGTTTTTGCCAGCCTAGAACTATAGACTTTCTAAAGTACATTAAAATAGCGTGAAAAGGAAAAGAACTGTAATTGGGGAAAGTGGAAAATGAAAGGGAAATTTTGGTTCAGCCCCTGGGGTTTGTTGAGAGCTGACAGACGCAAAGAAATACTTTCTGGCAAGAGAATGTCTGGAGTTGCAAACTGTTCTCCAGCACCAGAGGAAGGCAAGCCTGAAGGAGAGGCAATCATGTTTAGTTTGGCTTTGCCTTAAGAGAAGTCTCCTGTTAAGCTTCTTAGACTTAAGATAAGAATGTTTTACATTATAAATGCTGTTCAGCCACATGGTTAGCAACGGTTGTGGCTCCTGTGCAAAAATGCAAGGTTTATTTAAAATAAAGTCCGACTTGCTGTACAACAATGGTAAGTACAAGGTGATTGTAGTGCATCCAAAAAACCATGAACTGTATGATTCTACCTGAAATAAGGTGACTGCTTAAGACCTGAAGACATAAAAAGGAGAATAAAGCAGCAGAAAGCTTAGGAAAATATCAAGTGGTTAGGCATAAATAATCTGGTATTTCATATCGTGTCCACTTTTAGGGAAACAGAACTGTATGATTCTACCTGAAATAAGGTGACTGCTTAAGACCTGAAGACATAAAAAGGAGAATAAAGCAGCAGAAAGCTTAGGAAAATATCAAGTGGTTAGGCATAAATAATCTGGTATTTCATATCGTGTCCACTTTTAGGGAAACAAACAAACAAAGTCTAGGGAAAAGTTTAGGGAAACTAAAAAAAAAAACCCAACTCTTTTTTTGTTGTTGTTAAAGCCAGTAATAATTTTCAGGTCATCATAAACTGAAAAAACCCAACAACTCTTTTTGTGTTGTTGTTAAAGCCAGTAATAATTTTCAGTTCCCTTGCTGCGCAAACACTATGAACATAAAATAAAGAGATTAAATACTTGAGTTAAAAAGAGCATTATTATGTACAGACACAATGTACATTATCTGATAAAAACATGGAGCAGCCAGTATTTCTAGAGGAGGTTAGTACAACAGAGGTTTACTGTATCATAAAGTCTTAAAAGCAAACTATGTCTAAAATCTGTACTGTAGGTTAAAGAAAAAAAGTGGAGAGTTGGCTCCCAAAAGGTGTTAGTTTCTTTTCACTAACTTAAGTAGGATCAAGATTTCACTCAAAAGGCTTAAAATGGAACATCTCTAAACATATATTTATACAGCTTGATATTTGTTTTATTCAAGTATACGAGCACAGACACAGAAAGGCAATTAGATTTAGAAATTATGTTATTTTATAAGAGAGTAAAATTCTGAAGGACTTACTGCAATTTCAGTATTTACTTCATGTTTGCTGAACCTGTAAACAATCACATACGCGGAAACTCCTGCCACACAGAAAATTCGGCTTTCAGGACACCAGTACATCATCTGAACAGCAAAAGGATCTTCTTCCACAATCTCAGCTGTAGCTTTTCCTTCTCCTACTTTCTGTTTTTCAAAGACCTTTGATGTTTTTAATTTGTACAACATCTGTAGAGTAACTGGAATATATTAAAACATATAAAAAATACTGACTAATGTGAAGCAAATCAGTTATAAAATTCCTTGGTTCCCATTTTCTTTTCAGTTGTGGCATAACAAAGAATCTTATGAAGGCCTAAGTGGAGAAGAAGATGGGTATTATACAATAACAGATACTGTTCTGGTTCACAGCACTGGTAGGACATGTATTTAATACTTCCAAAGCAGATATTTGTCTGTGAAATATTTCTTATTACTTTCTGGGACAGGATGTCAAAGGTCTATGTTAAACATTATGTCCCTAATTAGGCTTACACTCCATGTTTTAGAGAGGCTCTAATAATGCTGCTATTTTCCTAATGAGAAGCGAAACTAAGATTTCATTTGTCTGAGGTTATTGTCATGCTAGAATGTAAAGAGTGAATGGCATTTCAAGAGAAAACATTAGGAAAGCATTCTGGTGGCCTGGGCAACACACAGACATTTCGAATGAACAGGAGTTCTAAAATGTTTTTAATTTATTGACTAACAAGTGTATCTGTATTTATACCTGTATATATGACCTTATATCCAGGAGCCTTTGTCAAGGCCAGAACTTCACTGCAGCGATTTCTGGAGGTAAAGGAAGGATTATAACCAACCCCATTCTGTTTTAGTGACATTCCGCCCTGTTTTTTACTACTTTTAGGTTAATTTATCAGTGGCATTTATTAATAACTGCATAAGGTCAGAAAAAGTCAATCAGGCCCAGCACCTATAAAGGTCTGTATATACATAAAGGCGAAGCTGTTACATATGTTAGTGTAATTGTGGTCGATGAGCCTGGCTAGCTTGTGTAACAAGCGCAACAAAGAGATGAAAGAATGGTGGTTTAGTTATGTAACCGGATGACGAACACAGCAAAATTACATTTTCATTTTGTGGTGCAGATATATTCCAGGAGTTTTAGCATATCATTTTTTTATATATTTTTTAAAGTTTCAGCATATAGAACACTACCAATTTTTCTCAAGTGCTTCTGTAATGAATACATAATTCTTCCTGCCTTCTGTGGCGGTGGACAAGGCCTCAGGATGCCCTTATAGTCCCAGTGGCAAATCTAGAGTGGCACTTCAAATCAGACATCGTGGGTCCATGCATACTAGGACTGGGAGAATTACAGAATCATAGGGTAAAAGTGCAAGGCAAGACTCTCTGTGCTTCTGTGAATTACTAGGTACCATCTGCAGCAATGGTTTTTGAGCAAATACACATTTGGAAAACTGCTGCAGTGACTTAGCAGTTCCCTGTCTCCCACAAATCTGTGCATTCACATACAAAATGACACAATTAAAATATGTCTAAAAGGAACATATTCTGTGCCTTCAAATACCGGTAGGATATTATATTTGCTATGAAATCTCAAATGAAATTTGAATGCTATTAAAAATGTTAAGATCTTGAAAATAATAATTAAAATCTTGTTCCTGGGCAACCTGCTCTGGGTGGACCTGCTCTGACAGGGGGGTTGGACTAGATGATCTCCAGAGGTCCCCTCCAACCCCATATCATCCTGTGATTCTGTGGAAAGTACCAAGTATGGCACCAATAATGCAGTACATGCCCTGAAAAGCAGGACTAAGACCAGGACATTAGAGATGCACTGAAAGTACCATTCCTGTTGAAGGGATTGTGAATATTCATAATCATCTAAGCTTTTACCTTTAAGAAAAATTTCTGTTGCAGCATGTACATGCTGATGAGTGGGTTATGTTTATATTCCCTATGAGGAGTTTTTTCCTTTCCTCATTCCTGCCAGAATTACAGAAGAAATGACTAGCATGCTGGTTCCTGTGCAGTGTATACACTAGATGCTTTGGGGTCTTGCAATATTTTGTATAGTTCACCCTAACTTTAATACCTGTATTTGCACATTCTTGTGAAAAGCAGAAGTATGTAATGAAATATGCACAAGACAGTGCCTCACACTTCTTCTGTAAATAAAAGTCATTATTCTTTTTTTGTTCATATTAAAGCTCTCAACCTTCTGTCTTTGCAGATAAACCCCCGCTGCTGCCATTTGAATGCTTTTCTTTTTGGTGTACACCGTAACTTGAAAATATTGGAAGATGTAAACGCTAAGCAGCATTTATCTCTTTTTCCTCCATTTCCAAATAGATAAATTATATAATAAAAAGACAACACATAGTCACATTCAGTTGATGTGTCCACATAAAATTCCTTTGTGAAATGAAGCTTTGGAAATCCCCATTTTCTCCTTGTCCATCATGATGAGTGAAAATATTCGGTATTAGGCAAAAAAAGAACTACCTGAAAAAGTCTTCAGGTTTAGCTGACATTAAAATCTTGTAAACATTCCCCATATTTGGCTGGAGATGGTAGCACTATTAATCATTACAATTCTGTGGCACACTGTGGAACTAGCATGTAGTTTAAGTATTGCATACTCTGTTCTTCTGTGTTCTTGGTGACCATTACAGACTGGTCATTAGGGTCTAATTAAATCTCTATGCCTGAAATGTCATAAAGAAGTTTCTTTTACACTCTTTTCTTTAAGAGATTGATACCTCATAAAAGAGATATTCTACCCAGACATCCCTGTACCACAGACGAGACAGGATACAAGGCAACTCTACTGCAACTTCTGTGAAGTGCAGTCATATTCTTTGAATGGGAATATGTTAGCTTTCAACCAAAATGTAGGTATACTTTGAATAAATATATTACACTAATAAGTATCATATGTATTTTCTGTAGGGGAAAATGCTGAATTTTGATATGTGTAGTTATAGCTAGAATAAGTATTTTCTGAAGTTTTTTTCCTGCTAGGATGAATGGAAATACTTCCCAATTATTTCCTGGAACTTGAGACTGGACAAGAAAAGATTTAGGTCATCTCCACCCTTGCCAGATTAGACATGTATTGAGATGTATTATTGTATTTTAATAATTTATTATTACTTAGCTGTAAAAAAGACTGTATTATACTCAGAATAGAAGAGACATGTCAACTGGAACTGAGTATTAGACCTAATTGAGCCCACTCTTTTATATACACAAGAAGATTGTGCCCTAGGGATTTTTTACCAACACTCCATCCTTCATAGGTATGTTTGGTATGTTGGATCTGCAGTTTTTACCCTTTAACTCTTTTCTGTCTAATAAATCTCATTAGAAGTGGTTTTTTTCCTCCTAATTTAATAAAAAATTACTTAATTTCACCTCATTATTCCTAACTATATAATCCCAGATATTACTACTCATACTGTTAAATATCATGTTTTATATATATATACATATATATATATGCATGTGTGTGTGATTTGTCAGCATTATATAAAAGTGAATTTTAGAAACTTACTGGCAGAAGCATCCCAAAACTTTACTGATCCATCTGCATGGCTTAAAAAAATATAAAAATTAAATGTGTTAAAACAAGATGCAATTCTAAAACATCTTCTACTTTCAGTGAGTATATATAAGCAGAAAAACTGTATTTTGCTCATGTAGTAACTTTGTATACCTTAGTATATATATCATTATATATTTTCAATAACTATAAGAAAATATTTTGTTAGTAGTTTGAGTAGGTTAATAGAACATTTTTACATGCATTTCCTACAGAGAACTAAGCCCACAATGAATTCTAAGATCGCAACAGCAAGAAGTTAATTCCCATACAAATGATAACCTTAAATTACAGAATTTTTGGCTTTGCAGTGGGCCAGCATCAAGCCTATGCACTCTACAAATGCGTAAAGAACTTTGAAAGGACAGAGGATAACTTTTTTTTTGTTTTGCTTAATACCTTACAGCTGTGTTCTTTTTGTTAACATAAAATCATCCCTGAAGTAAAGCTGGAGAAAGGAGACATTAGTGTTTAAAATGAGAATAATCCCTTCATCACCTTATTGGTACTATTGCACACATCATCAACTTATTTTTAAAAACAGATGTTAAGTATCATTGCTAACAACATTTTATCAAATATATTGCTATCATCAACATGGCTGAGACCAGAGGGACACACAGAGGGCATCATAGCTGAATGGTGTCTCTTTTACAGCATGGCCCCTTGAAAATCAATTGGCAATTGCTCATGGGGCTCCTGCTACAATCTGAGCCTTTTTACGCCTTTTTGCTATGGGGCTGTCTCTCCACTCACAAGGTGAAACTCACCCCAGTGCACCACACCCCCACTAATGCTGGGGTATTAAAATGAATTCCCAAACTGCCCCCAGATACAAACTCCCCAGAAGGCCAAAGGACAACAGCTACGCAAGAACAGTCCCTTCCCTTGTCAACACTATTCTCTGTGCCCTTCAAGGCCAAAACATTCTCTTGCAATGGATTCTGCTCTCCAAAGGCCCCAGCTTCATAAGTACGTAGACTTCCTGTCTAACACTGGGGCCTCAAATGGTAATTCTTAGTGGTAGTTCATCACTGAGTACAAAGCTCTGTTTTCTACAAAATGGGAATTTCTGTGGTAACTCTACACAAGGAAAGAAACGACATACCTCAGATGAAGAGGCCAGGATATACATACTCTGTGAAGGGTCAACTCTTATCTATAGTTAACCTACAGTGAAAAGCTGTAGATGCCAACGTTTTAAAAGTACCAATCCTCAATTTCATTCTCACCCTGTAATAATGATTTCGGGGTATGTCTGAGCTCCAAGATTCCACGCTCCACCACTGATAGGCCACTCCTAAACAAACAACAAGAGTACAGAGATCACAAATAATTCTGATGAATCTTGCTTGCTTAATTTTTAAACTCAAGAGTAGACAACATCTTCCTCCCCAAAGCAATACAACCGATAAAAGGAAGAAAAATGTGTAACATTTGAGGGTTTTAAAACTTATTAACATTTTTATATTATCAATTAAGGCTTTTAAAACATAATACATTATTTATATGCATTTATAATATACTTTTATGTTATCAGTTAAAGTTCTATGTTTTAAAAATATTTCTGTACAGCTAACACTCAACAATCCAAAACAGGAATTAGAGGAAGGAGTAACAGTTGTCAGATTGCTTGACTCTTGGAGTTTCTACAGGACTGAATAGACTGAGAATCTATTTTGAGGACAGAACCTACTGAAAGAAGCTGGCCCAGAAACAGATATCTGAGCATCATGCCACAAGCTATGAGATAAGGGAATGTAACTCATACAGAACTTATGAAATCATCATATCTTCTCTGCCTTTTGTCTACTAGTGGCAAGACTCCCATTTTCTTTCTTGGTCTAGACTGGTAGATCAAAATGCTGGTCTGTACCTAAAGGTTGACACGTATGGACACAGGGTACAGAATGTGGAGGATGACGTGTGCAGAGTGGGTGAGGATGTGTGCAGAGTATGGGTAGGTGGAAAAAACCTGGAAGCACAAACTGGTTGTGTGGATACATGGAGTGGATAGTTGCAGTACAGAAATGGGTAGGTGGCAAACGAGTGGCTACCTCCATTCAGAGAGTATATTTGTATGTTCACAAATAAAGCAAGGGGACAAGAGGGTGTGCAATTAATACAGGTAAGTGGTGAAAAGGTTGGGGAACTATGTATGTGAAGTAATGTAGATAAGCAGACAAATGGAAATAAGATAAAAAAATATTTTCTGAATTACTTTACTGAACGAAGATCGAAAGAAGTAGATTGGGCACAGTTTCCCAGTTCACAGAAAACAAGGCAGCTCCAAGGAGCATACTTCTGTTACTATGAATACAGAACTGATGATGTATGGTTTATTTATCTAATATTTTTTCTAATTTATTTATTATGATGGATTAGTTCTAGTCAAAACATAAACCAGATTAATGCTTGAAATTTATAAAATAATTTCATTTCCTCTTTTTATTTCTGCAGCTTGTCCTATTTCTAAAAGCATTATATTAAGACTGGTAGCTCAGTAAAATAATTATTAATATCCCTATTTAATAAAAATCTCACAGACACGCTGTCAACCCTCAACTTTCACTGAAGCTCTTCTGCTAACTACTTTCAGTTATAATTTTTTCACTTTTATCTTTGCTAGACATAACTTATCCATACAAATCTGAATTGTACACTGATTGCTTTCCTTTAACTCAATCTGATCTGGCATAATTCCAGCAGCCTAATGATTAAGTCCTATGTAATGGTCATTAATGGCTGTGCTTAAGTGATGGTGTTTCTGAGGGACAAATACCAGGCCATAAACATGCTGCTAAGCTGAAGGTAGGATTATTAAAGAAGTAAAATGAAAATATTTTGGTAAGATGTTGCAAAAATGTAGGTTGTACATCTACTTTTTTGTTTAAAAACAATATTGGTTTTGTTTACCTTATTGCTGTATCCTTGCTTTTTATGTTTTGCTCCTACAGAATAGAGTACAGGAATCAAATCTGGAGGACAGTCCGCAAAATATTCTGTGCAGGTAACAGGTGACTCATGAATGTCAATAGGATATGGATTTTCAAAGATTGGAAAACTAGTTAAGGAAGACAATTTATTAGAAGCACTGTGACACACTGAGCCATAGAAGAAAACATATATTAGAGTGTATAATTGAATCTAGGTAAAATCATTACTAATAAAGTACGTTTTCCCTTATTTATTCAAACTTAAGTATTGTTTTCAATGTCAATAATGATGTGTAGTTACTCAAATAAAGATAAAAAAAATCCATTGCTGTGACAAGAATCTCTTATAACTTATGTGAATAGTTCCTAAGGCTAATAGGTTAGGAACTAATTTTCCCCAACATCTGAAAAATCTCATTTATACAGAAGTGACACATTTTCTAGAAGCTTCAGGTTTATATATGTCTTAGGTCATATATACTATGACCTAAGAACTACTTATACAACTGTGGATTTTATACTGAGTAGCTTAGTTTATTGGGTTCATAGACTACTGATTCTACAATGAACAATTGCAATAACTGATGAAGTAGATCTCAGTTTACTTCTTACTTCCATCAGTTTGGATAGTCTGATAAGGAGGAAGGCCTCACTTCTGGCATATTACACAATGTTATTCACAATTCAAAAATGTAGGAAATTTGGTTCTGTTTTCAGTTACATCCATTTCACATTGCTGAGATTATTTGAATTATTCTTGGAAGTAAGATCAAAATATGATTCACTTTAATGTTTGAAGACATTAAGGGCAAAATCCACTCCTAGTTATACCAGTGTGAACGTGGATGTACATTACTGGTAGTGTTGGAGGCAGAACTAAATAAATAAGAATTGAATTCTGCATTATGATGTACAGTTCCTCTTTGATACGAACATTGATTCTGATATGAAAGAACTATTTGTCATTTAAACCATCAAGTGGATCATGAAATAATCCCATAGATCCACTATAAATCAGTGCCATTATTGATTAAGATATTAAATAAATACTTAAGTGGTAGTCCCTGTGGAATCTCATGAAATTAAGCATGCATATAAGTAGTGCTTCAATCTGATTTCCAAAACACACATTCAAGTAATAATTCAGCATGTGACCAAGTATTACTTAACTTTGATGTTGAGTGAATGTTTGAGGGCTGTGCTGAAGGGACCACATATTTAGATTTATTCCCAAACTTAAGAACGAATATTAATATAAGTTCTTGTTGATTAGCTGATCTTAGCTCTTAAGGTGGAGGTAAACATATAGAGTGAATTACTACCAAGAGTGAATGATTTTGGATAGTTAAATGACATTGCGTGATAACATTTGGATATCTATCATAATTTGCTGGACAGTTAATATATACAAATAACTTCATATAAGAGTTCATACTTACTTGCTTTGTGTCAAGTCAACAACAATGAGATCTTTTTCCAAAAGCACAACTACAGCATAGGGTTCTTGAAATTCTGTAAGTGAGGAATCAAGTATAAAAGACATGGAGTTCTCCTATTAGTCATTTTAAGCAAGCAAGTCATATTTATGTTCTCTAAAAATTCACAGTATATTAAACAAAAGTTTTGAGGTACAAATCCTAGACATATTCACAAACTAGACATATCTGCCAACCAGAGCCAGACAGAAACTGAGAAATTACTTTTGGGCACTATTGCCCAATGTATATAGCAGAAATAGAATTGGCACATTATGGCATGCCAGCATGATGGTATATGGAAAGTAAAGAAACAGAATATGAATAAATTGTATGTATCACTGCATTGCTCAATCCAGTTATTATACAGAAAACGTATATTTTTGCTCTCCAGTAATAAAACTTCTACTCTCTACAACCCTTCTTCAAAACCAGATTGTGAACAGTTGGTCTGGTCCACTTGGTGATATTCAATGCCCTCATTTCTAAAGCGATTCCAAAGGAATATTGCAGAGGAATCCTGTAAGTCTGCTGCGTTCAATTCAGACACTGACACACTCCTTCCTCCCAAACTTCCTCCCAAACTCTCTTTAGAAGATTATATTGTTTGGTTTTTTCTTTAAGGCTTTTTTGGTTAAAAAGATACCAAACAATTAACATGACAAATGCTTCCCTCGATGCATAGGGTACATTAGATTACATAGCCTAAAAGTTATTTTAAATAACATAAATGTGAAATTATGATTCTCTTTTCAATAGCAGGATTGAAACAAAGACACACTTTATTTTTTCTAAGTGTTTTTAATATGCATTTGATTTAGCTACGTATATAAGATTTATTTTACTCTTCTGCTTGAGGGCTTAAAATGTTAAATTTAGGGGTATTTTGACTTGCAGCTTTTCTTAATTTACTTTCTGAAGTTTTCTGTGAATGTACATAAGAATATGGCAGCTCCACAATATGCAGCAAAACACTTTTAACAGTTCTATTCAGGCTGAAGTACAAGAATTTTTCTGCAGATAAGTAATAGTTTAATCTTCAATAATACAGCAATCTGTAGATTTTCAGCCTCATGAAAAATGCCAGAAATATAACCACATATGTTTGATTAATAGCAATATTTCATCACAGTAGCCCATGTGTTTCAGGTTTATATCTGGAGATTTATGCATGCTCTACTGTCAACTCATTACTTGCTTCCTATATTGAGAATGCAAACAAATTCCAGTTACTTTCAGTGATGTGGTTTTCTTGAGATGGAGACAACCGTGATAATGAAAGTCCCTGGAACTGAATTAAGTTATGAGTGAAGATCTCTTCATTTGTTGTTTCCATAACTGTGTTTTGCTTCAGAAACTCACCATTTGGATATGGGGTTTCACAGAGAGTTAAAAAATCAACTATAGGGTGATCCATTTCAAGAACTGTAATTGCTTTCCCATGCATGATTGTTAAACTCGGTCTTCGACAAGCCTTATCATATGACAATCCACCGGAAAATATCACAAATGGTTCACTGTATTAAAAAAATCAACATAATAATTATAAGTTTACGTAGTACATACAAGTTTACACTATATGTTTAGTAGCTTTAAATAATAATAAATAGCTTTGCAAAAAGAATGAGGGAAAGATTCTAAAAAGACTTTAACTCAGGAATGTAACATTCAGTTAATTACAAAAATAAAAACATACCTGTTTTTACAGGTCTTATACTCTACTTTAAGAATTGGTTTACAAGATTCAGGTTTTTTACCATCTCTCTGAATTTTTCCTAAGGAAAGGAAGAAGACAAAAACTGTATTAAAACATCATGATAATAGAACTATCAAACTAGAACATACACACTGAAGCAACTGTTTAAGCAGTAAAAGAATGGAACTTTAAAGCTACAGCAGATGATGAGTATTATCTCCTATTTCTGTAAAATACACATTTGTGTAAATTAATTAAATTTATTACAGCTTTACATTTTTTTACTGCCACATCCATTTAAAGGAACCCAGATCACACTTCAAAGACATCTAAACTCCATGCAGATTACTAAGAAGGATGACACTTACCTAATAATTAAATAATTTCACCAAATGTATACCTTTTTTCTGAACACATTATGACCATAAACAGCTTATTTTTTCCTAAGTCATTATTTGATTAACTCAATTCTTTTTGTTGGCAAAATGTTACATGCTCTGGAACGTAACTAGTTGAGTGATAAAATTAAATGAAGGGTACAATTGAAATTCATGGAATCTTGGTTAATTATGGCTTAGTACTTTCTTCCAGTCAGAGAAAAGTCACTCGTAAACCAAAAAAATATGAATTTTGGCTTTGCTACTTTGGAAAGCCTATGCTTACTTTGGACAACCACCTGATTGGAGGATAGAGTGTAGATGGAGCCAGACTGTCCTCAGAGGTGCACAGTGAAATGACAGGAGGCAAAGGACACAAGTTGTGACATGGGAAATTCTGGTTAGATATTAGGAAAAAAATTTGTACAGTGAGAGTTATTAAATGCTGGAAGATGTTGCCCAGAAAGGTTGTGCAATTTGTTGTTGGAAGTGTTCAAGTGTCTAGTGTCAACTCGACACTGCCCTGAGCTAACTGATCTAATCAGGCCTGTTCTGAGCTGAGGGTTAGACTAGATGACCTCTGAGAGGTCCCTTCTGACATAAAGTACAATTATACGACTAAAAATGATAAAATAAATGGAATTAAGAAATTTAAGAAAACGCTAAAACTTTTCTGGGCCACATAGATCTTGCCTTCCCCTTCTTCCTCTCTCTCCATAACTCAGGCTTCTTGGTAATGTATTGATTTGCAAAAGAGTTAATACCTTTTAACTTCATTTATAAGAAGCAATGGCACATAAAGTCCCAGCTATAAAAGATACAGCCCTTTCATAATATGTCTCCTTTAAATTCTCCATTGCAGTGACTTAGGAAGCCTTGTACCATACCTATAACAAGCAACATACCTATAACAAGCAACATAGTATGTTGCTTGTATAGTATTTACATAGTATTTGCAACATGTATGTACAAAATATATTACTTCTTGTGAAAATTGCGTGTATGAGCTTGTAACTACAAAATACAGAAGACAGACACGTCAAAATCCCAAAGCCTGAGGGTGTCAAAGACTAGCAGTAGGCTATTAAGACGAATTGGATAAAAGAAGACAAAGAAGACATTAGAGCATTATTACCCAGTGAGAGGCATTTATGACACCAATTAAAAAAAAAAAAAATTGATCAAAATTGATCTTCTTTTTTTATAGTATTTTGCAGCTACTTTTCAAATTAAAATATTTATGCAAGAAGCAACTCTGGATCTGGGCTGCAATAAAAAATGAAATAAACAAAATAAACATAAGTATTAGCAAACAGTATGGAGAATATTGTATTGTTTCTTAGTTATGCATTTAAACTATCAAAATTACCATGTGGGATTGTGGTCTGGAATGGTCTGTTAGGACTTTTGAGATTCCATAAGGTCAAGCTGCCATCAGAGTGACTGCACATGAACTGCTTCCCTTCATGATGCCACGCAACAGAATGAATAGCCTACAGAAATGAAAGAAGAATTTGAGACAGAAATGGAATACAATGTTTACACTAATGATATTTTAATGCATGACTTTGGATTCTATTAATCTAATGGTATATTACAGTTGGGTGCTTCTTGTTTGTCTAAAGTCCATTACCAGCACTTTTTAGTAACCAGTAGCTGTAATCTACTGGTAGTCAAGGAAATTCTGTGTGACAAGTTTTACAGGTAATCTACAACACATACAGTCTTCCCCAGAGGACTACTTAGGAAAAGCAGAAACAGTACTCCGTTTTGAATAATTTTCCCCCCTGTATTCTTAAGTCTCAGAGCAAGTACACAGAAATCTGGATGTTTAATATAAAAACAAGACCACTAAAGAGAGCAGGATTGTTTTGTTGATATAGGAAATCAAAATAAACATGGCATGAGATACTTGTGGAACAGACAGCGCTTCACAAAAGAGGAATATCATACTCCTATGTACACAATGCAAGTACCATGTGATGAATGTTACTTATACCAAAAAGCAACACCTAATTAATAGACCATTCTTAGTATTTCATACATAATTAGTCAAACTGACCGAAAATACCCATAATTACACCAAACAAGCTGAAAGGATAACGGTGCAATTTCTTCATTTTCACTGGTATGTGCTAGAAACTAACAAAAGCCATTTTCTGACAAAGCAAAGTCCTGCTTCATTGTATATCACAGTTTCTCACACGCTCCCCTCAGAAGCACAAACTCACAGAATTTCCTTTAAATCCACTTCCAGAAATGTTAGCTGCCAAACTGCAGCTAACAATATGGTTTAATGTAAATGTATATAAAAGAGACTTATTTTTGAATGCAGTTCAATAAATGTCCATTTTTGCAACCCAGGAAATGCACTTATAATTGCCTATGGCCATTTACCTGATTTATTCACTTTAAAATTATGCCTGGGTATTCATAAGTCAGCTTTAGAGTTGTCCATATCAATTTTGCTTACGCTGACAAGAAATAAACCTAAGTTCTACTGATCACTATTCAAAACTCCCTGTTGGTCTACATCTTTTAATAAGTATGTTGATTGTTATGCTTGGTAACAGCTCATAGTCTGGAGGGAATATCAGAAAAACCAATGAAAATGCTGTGACTCTTTCCCAAAACTTTACTCAGCTCCTGAGGCTGGAGACCACAGACACAAATGAGCCTTTGCATTAAAATGACTCAGATGTTTTAACAGGAATCTGACATGCCTTGTATATGAATGCTTTGCTAACACACTAGTAAGCTAGTCGTGCCCATAAAGACTCAACAAATGGCTGAACAAAGCGAACTCTAGATATTTATCTTCAAATTATATGAGTGTCACTCAAACTTCTACCTACCAGAGGGAGGTTGGCACACAATTCCTCTTAAAGACCCATAAGATACCAAACTATAACTGAAGAAACAAAGGGTAACACAGAACGATGGCTCATACAGAGCCCAATGCCATCGCCCTCAGGTAGTGAGAACCTTAGATCTGCGGGGAGCGCTGCTTCACTTACACTGAAGGCATGTCTATCCTCCTGCATATAATTCTGTCATGAGCTCATTCATTCTTGCTATCATGCCAAATTTGAATCTGCTTTTGATGTGTTGTCACACATAGAAACATTTCACATGGTTACAGTCGCTAACCGTGTCGGAGCCGGAGCTAGTAGCTAGCAGATGAAAATTGTACCAAGCTGCTTGTTCAACTGCCTCTCAGCTGCTAGGTGCCACCTGCCAGCAGAAACCTCCTGTTGAGTAGAGCTGAGGAGGAATGCTCCTGTCACAGACAGTTGGCATAGCAGCAACCCAAACTCACCTGTTAGACTTTGCCCCGAAATGAGCAAGAAATACTTCGAAGCGCGTTTGAAGGTCTCAGCTGGGAGTCATGACTAACTGAAAGGTGGTGCTGAACAAATCCCTGATTTTTGTCTGCTACAATGTCTAGTGTTCTGATCTACTTCTTTACCATCCAGACAAAAAAAGGAGCAGTTATTTGCTTAGAACTGGAGTTCATCACAGTGGGTGACTCATGTGAATGTTCACACAGTGTATGCATATAAAGCATTATCACTCCAGATCGGGTATGTTTCTCCTTCTGCAATGCCCACAGTGGTTGCATACATATTCCATTTTCTCTCATACTCAGCATGTACTAAAATTAAGCATGCCCAACACCATTTCAGTTCATTCCCAACCACAAACCTCCTCCACTGAGAAGAACTCAGGGGGACTCTAGGACCCCTTTTAACCATATTTCGAACGAGCACCATACTAATCTCGTCTTATTGCTTGAATCTTACCATTAAGGACCATTACAGCAAGGGTCACATCAGATTTGATACTTCTATAATGGCATAGCCCTTGATAAAAGGAGGGAGATGTCATTTGGCAAATGTGTCTTTGAACTCAGCAGCTTCATTTGGGAGATGTGTTCTAATGAAAGTTGATCACTATGCTTCAGGAAACTGAGTGAGAACTGACACAGCCTGTCAAACTTTTAAACAGTCTGCATATGAAGACGGCTGTTTTTTTGGGGTCTGCCAACTATCAACAGTAACTTGTTGTTATATATACTTTGAATGATCTGGCTTGTTTACATGCTCTCTTTTTATAAAAATCAATGGAAATAAACTTTTGAAGGGATTTATATAAGGGCTTGCAAAGAAAGTCTTTTCTAGAGGGCATCATAAAGGAGCATTGATTGAAAGGGCCTGAATATCTCATACATATCACCACTGAGAAGATGAAAATCATCATCACACACACAAAAAAATGTGCAGGTGACATCTTGAAGAGCAGACACAAGATTGTTTAGCAGCAGGTTCAAGCTCCATGCTGGCATCGAGTGTTTCACAAGCAAGAACATTTTAGTCTCTTGAGAAGATTTGACACAGTAGAGAAGAATGAGTTGATGAATTGAGGCAGCCTCTAACTGGTCATCAGTGGGGCTAAAAGAGAGACAGGACTAGCTTTAGCTTCAGTGAGTAAACCATAAATATCAGGGAGAAGCTTTAAAGGGAAGATACAGGCTTACAAGAACACCAAGCGGAGAAATTCCAGATAACTTGTACAGTTTTTTCTATCCTTGGTGAGAACCTCTCCCATTTGAAATGAGCACACAGGTTTTATCTATAAAAGGTTCTCAGTCTTCAAGACATGAACTACAGCATGACAAAGATGGAGAAAGGAAAGCAGCTATAAATGCTGCAATTGCAGGTCTGTGAACAGGGGGCAGTCTTCAGCTCCACCACTTACAAGCTATTGGGTTGTCTCGGTGAGCTGTTTATTCTAGAACAATGTAGCCATGACATTAATCTGGATGGCAAGGAAAATCAAAGGGTATATTTCTGCAAGTAGTGGACAGATCCTGGTAATATTGTACAAAGCAACTCACCTCCCTGTCATAACATTGCACATATTTTGAGGAGGTGTCTGCAACATGTATCTTGTAACCACGTTTGCGAGTTTCAGTGATACAAAGCATCACACAGGTATCACAAAGCCACAGAAAGCACAGGCAAGATTTCACAGTGATGATGTCCCAGTGGAGTGAGAACCGTTCTCTCTTGGTGATCCTTCTGTTAGCCAACTGTTCAAGCGTGCAAATAAAGAGGACCTATTCCATCTGAGATGGGCGTTCTTTATTTCTAAGACCTCAATTTTCACTCAACATAGTGAAAAAATTGAACGGAAGAGACCTTTTAATAATGGTTCTCACTGACAATGAAACGAAAGCATTTATTGTGGCTGTATGAAAAGAAATATCTTTAAATTAAAGAGATATGAAACTATTCCTCTCTATAACAATTGAATAATAGCAGATACAGTCTCCAACTTGAACTTAAAGGGGAAGAATATTTAGATTGGTAAACAGACACTCAGTTACCAGCCTTGTGTCAAAAAAAAATCTGCTCTTAACTTCTCACTCCTGTGTTGCACAGTGAGGTTCTACAGATCTGAATAACAACAGAGACCCTCCTTCTTGACAACCAGCCTGGGGAGACTGAAATCCAACGCTGTCAACAGTAACACAGGAGAAATTCAGTTGAGGCTTGATCCTGTGAAAGGATGAGTATTCAGATGGAGTCTTCAGGGTGGTGACATTTATTTTGAGTGACATTACCAAGTTGCACAGTTATATGAAGAAGATTAGAGAGAAGAAAGAACTTGCCTTCATGATGAACACTCACAGTCCATCAAAGACAAAAAAATACACTGTTTCTCAGAGTACATATCAAGTGCCCCTTAATGGAGAGGCCTTGGTGCCAGGGGAATTTTTGACACTAAACAGAAGTATCTGTTTCACTGATAAACCAGAAAAGATTGTGTCATCTGATGATCCTTAAAGATGTCAGAATAGGAAGTGGTCCAGCTAGATGAGATTTCCAGTTCTTTCACCAAAGAGGGTGACTACCTTAGTTTCAAAACTGCTGCTAAAGAAAGTAATGATAATAAGAAAAATGAAGCTGGGTTAATTTCATTCAGATCCCATTCAAAGAGGCACTTTGGTATTCAATGAAGATACAGAACATTTACAGCAATTTATCTGAGACCTCACAGATACCCTGCAATTGTGACTGGCTGGCTCAGAGCCAGAACAATACTAAAACATTGCTCAGATATCATGGGGCACAGAAGCCTTGCATCAGTCCAGATAGAATGGTGAAGGGAGCAGGAACAATGTTTTCTGGACTGTCAACTTTGATGGCCAATCTGTAAGAAAAGGCTTAGGTTTGAAAACTTGGGTTGGTGCCAAATACCAAGTGGCACATACCGAACTAATCACTGGTGACTCACAAAAGCTACATAACCCAGGATTTCAAAAGGAACCCTTTCTAGGGGCTCCCTGGGGGAATCCTTGCAGTTCTGGAACATTACTGATCTGGAGCCTGAAAGTCTGGAATAAAGTACAATGGCTACTCACATAACCCTTTTAAAGACAAGAAGAATCTTGCAAATATTTCAGCAGATGATAGCAAGCCGTCACAAGCTGCACAAGGTACAGTAATGACACAGCAAGTAAACACGGAGGAGGAAAACATGGGACTGATTAAAAGGCCAAAAAATGCACCTGAGGACGGCATGGAAAAATGTGGAACAACTGAATTTTATAAGAAATTTTCAACACCCAACCACTCTGTCTCAACAAGCAAAAAATAAAATAATGGAAACAGTATTATGAAAATCCTGGTTTATGTAGTCTCGTTCTGAACATACAAGAGGACAGTGAGTGAACAAACCCTCCCCCAGGAGAGCTGGAAAAGAAGAAAGTTGTCCAGCCTTCAGTAATAGAGCAGGTGCAATTTTACAGGTGTATGCACAGGCAGACTGTCACTTAGAGACAATTTAGTGGGCATGTCTTCAGGCTTAAGTGCTGGCCTGTTCAAGCTCTCAATTACCCCACCCTTCAGAACATTTGCTATGTAGAATTCAGAATCTTAACCTTGAAGCTCAGTGTAGTGTTTATGTGTCTGTGAACACAGGCCCGAAAAGTGCAGGATTCAGATATATTGAAATTACTTTTTAGAGTGATAATAAATGTGTATACTGCTTACATGTAATAAGGTGGCAAGATGAAGAAGGAAAGGGAACTACAGGAAACCAATTACTTTCTGGAGCACTTTAAAGAAAATGTCCCTTTATAACTTCAGCTTTAGTTGCACTCACATTCATCCATAGTGAACTTTACAGAAGGGCTGGCAGAACAAATGATGTTTTTTCCTAGGGCTAGTACTGAAATCGTAATAACTAGAAATAAATCTATTTTTGAAACAGCCTATTTCTTGATACAAGAACTGCATCTGTGTTTTATATAATCTGCTTACAAAAGGCAAGAGACAATTGTTTGATAAAACTATGAGAACACAATTCTGAAAATCTTTGAATCAGATCTTGAGTATGAGGTAACATCCATAGCCCTACAAAATAATTTGTCTTTCATTCTAATTAATGTTCTAGCAGTACACAATAAAGATAATTATATAATTCCTAACGTAGCTGTATCTCAGGTCATCTCATTGCTACACTCTGTTCAACTGAGGATCCCCACAACTGAGAAGCTGATGAATTTAGCAGAATCATGGGGAAGAGACTCAGTGTCGTACTACCTTCACAAGAGCCTAATGCATTAGAACTACAGATTTCAGGTTTTGATTTCTATTGTCAACAACTCGTTCAAAAGCATAGCACAAACAGTATTTCCAGAACAAGCAATCCCTTAAGATAAATATCCATCTGCTTGATAAGACATACTGTAAACTGCTGAATAACAGTTTTTCTGAATTAATGGAAGCTGCTTACCTCATCATAATAAGCTCTCAGATCAGCTCTTTTAGATCGTAAGTCCCAGAGTACTACAGTTCCATTTTCATAGCCTATCAATAGCTGGAGGAGGGAAACAAACACAATTATACTTACAGATTCAAAAAGTATATAGGAATAGTGAAAAACTTACAGGTTTTAAGAGATTTTTAAAAAATAAATAAGCACTATAAACAGAGATGCCAAACTGATGTGCAAGATTATAGTTCACACTACACATAATATCCAGCTTTCAAATTATCTTTCAGTATAGATTACTTCTCATTACTGATTACTCAAGTTTTAATATGTAAGAAAAAATGTGCTTTATATGCCTTTTTTTTCTGAAGGATTTATGTGCCTGGACAGTCTTCACAATTGTGTATCTGCTAAGAGAGTAAGACCGTAGCATGTTCCTCTCAGCTCTTACCTTCCTTGCCCCTGATTGGAGGGAAAACTGTTTGACACCTAAGAGATCATTTAAATTATTTCAGAGCCACCAAATTAAACTCTCATTCAGCTACATATATTCCTTTAATTTCTGCTTTCCACTGCTTTAAAACATTTCAAAGAACTCCTCTTGCAGAGAATAAATTGCTTGCTTTCCTATAAATCAAAAATATATTAACTGGTATGTGAATTTTTACTTTTACTAGTCATATCATCATGGACATCTCAGAAATACCAGCAAAGAAGATTTGTCAAAAGATGAAAGAGTAGAAAAACGATGCCCAGGAGAAAAATAAGAATGGACACAATCCTTTCTCCTTGCCTCTATTGAACTGAATAATTGGTCTGGCACTGTATTGAGTACTCTTCGATTGAACACAATTAATTACAGATATGAAGTCTGGCCTACTTAAGTATCCTGGAAATTGCTTCCCATAGAGCCCATCTTCCTAAGAATCTATCCTGGACATGAAGACTGTGAATGACCAAACTGATAGATTTCAGATATGAAGTCTGGCCTACCTAAGTATTCTGGAAATAGCTTCCCATAGAACCCATCTTCCTAAGAATCTATCCTGGACGTGAAGACTGTGAATGACCAAACTGATAGATTCACACATTTCTGCTATGGAATATTTTATGCAATTGGCAGTGATAACTGCAGTTGTTCTTTGTCCGTATAGACATGGATCACAGAACACAGGCAAAGATTTACAGTTTCTATATGAAGAATTTGAGCAGAAGAATGACGAGATCATCTCTTAGTCTGTGAGGCCTTACCAGCATCTCTGCCATCACTCACTTTACCTTGCATAAGTCATAAAAATGAAACTTGGCTGGACTGCTAAACAAAACATCACTTTGTTTCCAAGTTAAACATAATTGATACATCAATACTGCTATAAAAGAGTCTGGGACTACTCTCAAACTTACTAGATATGATTTTATATATTGCCAGGAGAATGTTCATTATGTGGAGATGTATTACCTAATCTACAAATGATTTATAGCTAGTATATTTAATAGCTGAATATGAACAATACCTTATTACTTAAGAATTCTGCTCCTGAAAAAAAATCAAACTGTCCTGGAGAAAATCCAGAATATTTATCATTTTTGCTGTGGACAGGTCCATATGGGATTTTGTGGCAGAGTAAATGTGAAAAGACATCCTGTTCAGAAAGCGTGCAGCTAACTGGATAGCACTTGTGTCAGGATGCCATATGGTATTCTGGGATAATAGATGCCATTGAGAGAGTGAACAAAGTGTCTTACTGCAACTGCTTTTACTGTTAGTGTAGTGATCCTAAATGGAAGACAATTGTATATGCAGGAGTTAGTGACCCACACAGCATTTAACCTGAGTAAGTGCAGGTCTGTGCTGGGCTATGCTGTGCTGCACATAGCACTTGGCTTTCAGGTCTGTGTTGTGCTGCACCAACTCCTTGGCCACAAGATAAACTTTGCTGCCTAATAGTAAAGAAGCAGCATGTAGACAGCTTCCACTTGGTAAGGGCAATTACAGCACTTTTGTGACCTTGTCTGTATGTTAATGCAAGGCAGTATATTCTCATGTAAGTATCCTTTTTCCTGACAGTAGAAATTCTTAATTATTATTTTTTTTTTAATCTTTTGAGTTGTCTATGAGTATCCTTTTTCCTGACAGTAGAAATTATTTATATTTTTTTTTTAATCTTTTGAGTTGTCTAAAGACCAAAATGTTGGCAAACCTCTTCACAGAGGGTACCAGCACAGTGTGCTGTGCCCTTCTTGGGGGTTCATCCACTGCTGCACAACTTAGGGTTCCCACCATCTGAAGGAACATAAGATTATCTTCTTTTTCCTTTTCATATTAACTTAAATAAAAGGTATTTTAGTCAACATGTTATGGAGTCTGAGTGCCTTCCTTACTCTTACCATTACAAGTACTTGCAGCAGTGCATTAGAGCTGGGTACCAAACAAGTTGAATTCAGTTCATATCTACCAGTATTCTTTCCACCTCAGCTTTTGTACAAATATATTCAGGAAACTCAAGGAACAGAAAAGCATTTAGTATGTGACCCTGTTTCATAATAAGCCTTTCTCCTTGGTGAAGCAGGCTTGTCTTTTGATTTTTATCACTCTTTTTTGCAAAGATATCACGCTCCAGGTAATTACTGAAAGGTTAAATACCTCCTATCAGAAACAGCATTTCACCTGATCTATTGCTTAATGCACAACAGCACTACAGAACTGCAAGATATCAAGTACTGATGTGATTTCAGGGAAGAAGTTGAAAGATAAACAGATTTGCTGCACAGCCAGGAATTTTTCTCTCTTTGCTCGGGTGGTAGCCATGCTGCCAGTCTGCTAGTACTGTGATAGGACACTGAAGTCAGAATTCCAAATGGATGAATAGGATTAGTCTCGTCACCAGTATATTTATGATGCTTTGAACTCTGACTTCTCTGAATCATAGGAATCTCAGATATTCATGCTCCCGTTTGCCATGGTAAGCACTTGAAAGATCTATATTACAGGCTCTATGTCTGTAATATTCATTTAGTAAAAAAGAAAACATCCACAAACGCAGCTGAAGGAGAAAACAGACAAAGAATAAAAATATGTGTAAAAAGGGTCAAGGAAGCAAAAACCCAAAGATTTCTCTTCAGCTTCTGTTTCCTGGCATCTTGTTTAATTACTCATGCTTAATTAGGTTAAGAATTATGCAGAACGCCACACAGAATTTGAAGGAGGGAAGAATCCTGGCAAGATCTTTCTTGTCTAATGCAGTTGCTCCACGTTTTGACTTAACAAATCCTTTATCATGAAATGCTTTTGATGACAGTGTTTCAGGGAGTTTTCTCCTTTACAATCAATTAATTGCATCCTGGTACCTGCCAGCCAGCCCCTTCCTTGTCCTGGTACCACAAAACAGCTGGGAGAATAAAAACAAGCCTGCCAAATGCACACTGTATTTAGGTGTTATTAGATCTCAGAACACAGACTCAGAGATAGGAAGTTTAGTCCACCAGCTAATAGTTAATAACATTAAACTTTTTCCTATTTAGCTTTCTCCAGTTGCTGGGAAACCGCAGATCATTGCAGTTAATGTCTTCTCCTGTGTCAGCAAGAAAAATCATGTTTGCTACAGATCTGCCACTTAAAAATGTCTGTGCACTTCAGTCTGTTCCTAATGTACACTTCTTCATTGATTTGGCAGACACAATTATATTTCATGGACTTAATCACTAGGTCCCCAAATTGTTCTTAAGTGACACATTAAACGCCCACATGCTCTTTGTGGTCTGTCTTCTAGTTACCCCTTGCTAGATTCATAAAAGAGACTGCCTCCAAAGTTTGCCTGGAGGGCACTTTGGAAAAATTTTGAATGGCAGAGGTTTTCTGGACTTGCATTCATTCTTTCAGCACAGAAAAACTGGTCATCTGTCGCTGATACAAACTAGAATTTTTAGGGCTTTAAAGAATTTTAAAAAGATGAATATACAGTCAGAACAAAAATCTCCCTGGTTTTCAAAAGGGTATCTTAAGATTGTCCTAGATTTGGAAAGGTTTATCTATGTTTTAGGATTCTCAACCACTCAGTGCCCATAGGAGAAATCTACTTATTTACTTCAGTGAAACATGCCCAGATCTGTAAACAACTTCCCAGAGAAGGATATACTACTGGACCTTTGCAGAGTACAATACTCTTGTAAAGTACAAGAATAGCTGTATTTTGAGCAATGATTATGACTGATTTGTACTCACTATTTAATTTCTGAAGCGTAAGTAAAGAACACTTTCATCTACTGCCCCCCATGAAGTGATGCAAGGAGCCCCATTTCTCCCACCAACATCTCTTGATGGTTAACTTGAAGCTGAAAAGCTAAGCAGAGCATGTAGAACTGTACTGAAACAGCTCAGTTAGCTAAGAACAACTCTGCTAAATTAAACAAAAGGTCTACCTATCACAGTATTTTGTACTTAAATGGCCAAGGGCAAATACCAAAGAAGAATATGTGAGGAGGGCAAGTACTTACCATACCCTCACAAATTCTCTCAGCCTACATGACTTTCTCATTCAAAGACAGCCAGCTCCTCAACTAGACATGACTCCAGTTAACCTGATATTTAATAACTGTTTAGGAAAATTCAGCAAACCTCTTCAGTAACCTTCAGACTGATTTCTGTTAACTTTTCTAGTCTCCCTTTTGATCCATATACATTTTCAGCACCCACAGCACCATTTGGAAAAAAGTTTTATAGCTTCTACCCATTGCGCATTTGAAGAAGAACTTAATTGGCTTGTTTGGAATCTGACTTGTTCAGCTTCATTGATTTCCTTTTAGTTTTTGTATTGAAAGAGACTATGAACTGCTTCTACCTTCTTCATTAACAATTACGATTTTCAAACTCAGAATCACAATCAACTCTTTTCCACAATGTATTGTCCTGTCTCACTTTGTTGTGTCTCATATAAAAAACCTTGCCCCTTCTCTGAATTTCTTTTAGCACAATTACATTCTTTTTGAGATAGAAGGACAAATAGAACACTCAGTATTTAGCAAGCAAGTAAACCATGCATTTATGCAATAGTCCTGTTTTGTTCTCTGTTCTTCTCCAGATAATGCCTAATTTTGATTTTCTTTATTGGTCACTACTGAGCATTGAGCTGACATTTCCACTGAACTATCAATCATCACTCAAAACTCTCGATACCAAACAGTAATGATAAGCCCAGACCCATTGTTTTATATGTAAAGTCAGAAATATTTTCCCCCACACATATAGCTTCCCATAATTTACACTGAATGCTTACAAAGGACAGCATTTATCCTGACATTTTACTGCCGTTTCTCAACCTCCTAAAGTCCCGCAAACCTGACCATAGCACTGCTTACTCTTTTCTAGGTTATTTATGACTATGCTGAACAGCAAAAGTCCAAGAAGTTAGTTTTTTTTTCATTTTTTCCCCATTCTGAAGAAAGACTGTTTTATCCTTCATTCTTTCAAACAAAGCTTAATGAGACTTAGTTGAAAAATTCAGTTTATTTTTTTTTTTCCTCGTCTGTTGGATTTTTTTTTATTTAGAGCTATGTCTTTTGATTTAGTGCTTGGATCTTCTCTTACATTTGTGCTTACCTTTTACTGATATTTTCCTGTAATCTTCAAACGCTATCTATTCTACATTCTGCAAATCTGCAAGTATTTTGTTAGTACCAATTTGTTCTTTACACCACCCTCAATCTATCAATGATACAAAGAGCTATACTGGAATGGTTTCAGTATGGCTTACATTTTCTACTCTTTCTCCTCATAAATTTCCAATGTTTGCATTTCATAGGGATCCATCTGATTTTGCTGTTGCTGTTGTTAGTATGCTACTAATTCATCAGTGCCCAGATGTCTCCAATGTGCCCTCTGAGCAACAAGCAATTGTATTTCCAAGCAAGGTCTCCTCTAACTCCCTTTCCTGGAATCATTTCATCTTTCTCTTTCTGCTGAAGTCAAAATGTTTTAGTCTTCTGTTTGGGCACAGTTCATTACATTCCTGTAAGAGATGTTCACTCACAAGATCATTTTTTCTTTTAGTATCATATCCTTTTTCCCTACACCGTGTGCTTTAGGTAGGTCATCAGCAGCTTCTGCTGTGGCCAGTGAACAAGAGTTATGCCACATCAATAAACCTTTATTTTTATCAGGTATTTTGCCATACATAGTTAAACAGTATTTCTTGACGGCTTGTAGTTTGAGGCTAAAACACTATGCTTCATAGCGTTTAATTACTTTATTTGCTGTATTCTAAATTGCTTCATCTGTTGTGATTCCTCCAACAAGGCTTAAAGATGCAATCTGGCTTTTGGAAGGCTAGCTGGCAAGTGCCTCATTTGCACATAGTTCACCTTGCAATATGGATAAGTCCAAGGACAGATAATGCAAATGAAATTCAGATGTAGTCATCGGTGTTTTTCTAGGGAAGCATATGAATTTCAGTAAAATGTCCCTCATATCAGTATCAGAAATTCAAACTGCTGCTAGTTTCCAATAGCCACCAGTTGTTATGTGAGGCACACTGTTTTGTAAGATGCAGTCCTTTATGAATACACACTGAAATGCAATTGGCAAAAGTGACCAAAAGTGATGAGACAGTTAAATGCCCCTTCCACATAGGCCAAATGCTCAAAAATTCAGTAGCAATACATAAATAAAAAAGGTCTAATAAAACTGATACACTGGCAACAAAATCTCATTTTGGAAAAGCTACCATACAAATAAAGTCAACTCTGATTTTGCCTCCTGATGGTATCAATCATGACCCGAACACTCTGACTACATGTTTTGCTTCCAGTTGACAGCTCTTTGCTGTTCTCAGCTCTATTCAGAAACAGTAGCAAGTGCCAAAAGTGGGTTACTATTCTTGTTATTCTTGTGTAAGAAAAAACTTACTATCTTATGAAAACTTACTCTAATGCTTTCATAATAGCATGCTTATCCAAGTACTAAAGTCATGGTACAGCTTTTAGTCAACTCTTACTTAAGTAAAGCCAAGTTTATTTAACCAGGAACAATTTTGATTTGCCATAGGTTTCAAAGTACAGTGTGTTGTCTGTTTCATGGATTTTTACTCATTAAAATTGTACAAATAATTTTTTTTTTCTTAAAAATTGTAAAATAGTAAAAGTGATCTCGCAAATATAGAAAGAGAGCAGATAATAAAACCAGTAAGGAGGAAAAAAAAAAGGAATTGAGGCAAATAAAGGCTATGAAATATCACAATGTTTTATACCAGTAGTTGTACTCACTTTTCCCTCATCTCTTGGGCTGTCACTTAAATGTACAACTGGCCCAGGGTGAGTCTTTGTGGATCTGCAAGACAAAAATCAATTCAAATCTGTGAATGGTTTTTGTATGAAGAGTTAGATGCTTACCTTAATTTCTAGGTGTGTTAATGTGTATCTCCAATGGTTTATAAGTCATCCTAAAATGCCCAGCAGGGGAAGATAACTATCCTAAAGTTATCCGTATCTTTTTGTGTTCTCCTCTGTTTCCCTTTTGCTGTCATAGGCAAAGATTCTCCTTTGTTGATGAATCCTTTTTTCCATTTAAAAAAAATTTTCACTATTCCTCTATTACAGTAATTCACACCCTCCCATTTCTGAGGCTTTTTTGCCTTTTCTGTTCTCCACTTTCTCTCTTTCTGCCCTTTCTCCTCACTTGCTTGATTTCAAGACTAATCTGCCAAGGATTTGTAAAGTCTTAAGTGGATTCCCTTCAAATACTGATAACAAGACTCACCAAGTTCCAATCTCATTAACAGGTCCTCAGTAATCCACCTACATGCTCTATCTTCTAGCTTCTTCTAGCACCTACACTGCTCTATCTTCTACTGCTAGCTTCGTAGCATTGCTGCAGTGGGGTTTCAGAAATGGAGCATCTTGCCTTTGTCTATTCTGTAAAGCCTTATGACATCTTCAGACCAACTAATACACCCACAATGCACATTCAGTGGGGCTCCTCAGCCATAAGACCCATCTCATGAGTCTTGGTAAGCCGCTATAAAGATTACTTATTGTTCTTGCTGTCCCCTCTCTTTTTGTAACATACCAATAACACAGTATGCAACTTAGTACAGGGGCTGCTGCTGAAGTCATTAATGTCCAGTACCTGACAACAAATGCAAATCATAGGAAACTGAGTGGGCAGATGAAGATTTTTCCACTCTCATCTTTTCTGACCAGACCTTCAGGCATGGCAGTCATAAATAGCAAGAAGACAAGAACCAGTCCACAAAAGTTCAGGGTATTTGAATGCCTGCACAGAACATGACCTTTCTCCCATCTAGGTTCTGGGGTCAGAGCACATGTCCCTTGGAGTTCAGCTTCAGATCTAGACTTGCATGTTTGGTCTTGGTTCACCAAAGGTCACCAGGAAAAAATATTGCAGAGACTGGCAGGCTCCATAAAGCTAAGAATTTATCTGGAAGCCATACCTAAAACTACCAAGGCTCCAAGTTTTAAAGCAATCTGCAAGGAAACAAACCAAAACAAGGTTCTCCAGCCAAACTGCTCAAAGGATTTTCCTAAATTAACAGTGTTCCTCTTCCTTTGGTTCTAATACTGAACTACAGCCAAACTGAACTCTGTTCTACCAGGTCAGACTCCAAATTAAGATTAAGAGTGGTATGCAAAAATTCCCAGGCAAATCAAATATTAAAATACTGTGGAGTAATTCATATCCTTATAGACGACTCTTTCCCAAAACAGTATGCACAAACACTCCTGAAAGCACGCATGCTTTCCTCTGGCCTCTATTTTTTTGCCCAGGGAATGTTTCAAATATTTTAGCTATTTGGTCACGCACTAAAGCTGGGCCAAAGCAGAGCGGCAAAGACCTTGTCTGATACTTACCTCTGAGCTAAAGACAATGAAAAATTACTGCAGATATCCTTTGACCTTGCAAACAAAGTTTGTTCCATGCCAAAGACACAGAAAATTTCAAGTCACTTAAAGGCCAGTCAGCCTTCCAAGACTACACTCCAACCCTTCATGTACATTTTAACATTACTGCTAGCTGCATGCAGAAAGCTAGTGGCAATGTGGGAAGCCCCTTCCTAGGAGAACCTTCTCCATGAAATGATCCCATACCATCATCTTCAGCTTTGACAGATGTTTCCACAGGTACCTGCAGCATGTTACGTTTCTACATGAGGTCTCAGTGCACAAGGCTTCAGCAAGAGCGTTTTGCGACATATCCCAACACAGACCTGAGGCCATCAGGAAAGCAGTGGAGAGCCAGTTTGTACAGCAATATTCTATACAGATTGTCTTTAATGGTACCAGTAGCAAGTACTCATTTGGCTTAAGGCCTGGCATGCAACAATTTTTGCATAGATGCAGTTAACGGGAGATCTGGCTGCCATTCCTACCCAAGCCAGCTCCCCAGAGGGGACCTCTCTGGCCGAGCTTCTATTTCTGAGTAACCTGTACTGGAATAAAAAAATCATTTCCACAGCACTAGGCCTTGGAGCCTGCAGGGTAGGCAGGCAGTGATGGGGAACTGAGGGCTGAGATGAGGATATCTGCAAGCAGTGCTTAGACCCACACATGTCTGGTACATCTGTCCTCAGAGTGTGAACAGGACATCTTTGGACATTCTAGGCTACTTTGAACTTTGTTTTTGACATAGGTTCACCAATCTGAACTGGTCAGAGTATGCTGATGGGAAGAACGAAGTCTGTTTAAGGTACATGATGCCTATACCATGACAGCAAAGGAGAAAGCATAAGAGGAAAAGGCATGAAGAGAAGAGGCAGCATAAGAAATTTTACTTTAAGCCAGATAAGAACCACTGACAGATGATGGAAGATGGAGCAGAGCCACGCAAACATCAGGCATGACTCAGCTGGCAACAGACAAAATGGTGGAAGGAGCACACACAGGCTGACAAGGCATACTGGTTTTGGCAGATACACCAGCCCATTGGACCCACCAGACTGGGTTGCTTGGCTATAGCAGTATTAGTACTTGACCAGGAATACTGGCAAAATCAGCAAAAATGGAGGGAAAAAGGAAAAGAGCATATTGTCTTTCTAAGCTGGAAGCAGATCTTGTCTAGGGTGCTCTTTGTAACTGTCAGTCAAGATCAATTTACATAAATCTGTGGAACTACTGTTTTCCTTTTAATATACATATGTCATTGCTTTCCAAGGAATGTATACACTTGTCTTTGGGTAGAAGCAAACTCTTACATGAGCTCTACTCACTCTACATTACATGTAATTTCAGGCTAATTATACTTGCATTGTCACACAAACTAGTTGTTCCCCTGTAAATGATATACCAGTCTTATTTTTATCTTACGTCCTTGCAGGGGCGTAGCCTCAGATTTCTGTGCTAAGACCTCAGCTTAGCACAGGGTAACCTTCACTAATACAATAAATTTTCCTACCTCCTCCATTTTTCTCGTGATTCTATTGTAAAAAATAGTTGCAGTATCTTGGGATTTATTACACTGTAACAAAATTTCTTTTTGCTTTTCAGTAAATTAGACGCTTTTTGTTCCTTTTAGGAGTATTATCTTTTTATTATTAGGTTCCTAGCTATTTCTTTTGTTTTGTTGAGTAAGAGCTTCATATACATTCATATACATATACATATGTATACATATACATATACATATACAATGTATCAAAATTGATACATTGACACGTACACCACCAGCCTTTGGTTCCATCCTTGTTAGCTGTTTTATGTCCACTATTGGATGTAGGTATCAGTGTTGGCAGAGGGGAGTTGTGTGGGGAGTCTCTGTGAGGAGATGTCAAGGCTGCCCTGTTCTGGACACAGCTGCCTCCAACAGACCCCCCACAGACACGGCCACGATGGTGGTGCCTTAGGGAAAACAAATTTAAGAAAGGGCAAAAAAACACTGCACTGGCAGTGAGGAAAGGGTGAGAAACAGCCCTGTGAGCACCAAGGTACCAAGGTCAGTGAAGGAGGAGACAGGAAGAGGCTCCAAGTGCCTGAGTAGAGATTCCTCTGCTGCTGGTGGAGAGGACCATGCCAGAGCACTCCCCTGGAGACCATGCTGGATCAGGTGAACATTTCCTACAGGCTTGTGGAAAGCCCACATTGGGGCAGGTTTATCCTGAAGGACTGCAGCCTGTGGAAGGACCTATGCTGGAGCAGGGTGAAAGTATGAGGAGCAGCAGAGAGAAGCTGTAATGGACCAAACACAGCCCCCATTCTCCATCCCCCTGGGCTGCTGAGGGAGGAGGAAGGGGAGGAGGCAGAGGAGCTAGGAATGAAGGAGTGAAGGTAAGCCTAGGAAAAATGGGGCTTGGGGGAAAGGTGTTTTAGTTTCTTTGTTGCCATTCCATTTTAACTAGCAAAAAAATGAATTAATTTTCTCCAAGTCAAGTCTGTTATGCCCATTGACAGTAATTAATAACTTATCTCCCTGTCTTTATCTTGACCCATGAACTTTTCCATCTCATTTTCTTTCCCTGTGCTATTGAGATGAGGGAGAGAAAGAGCAGCTTAGTGGAGCTCTCACAACCAGCCAGGGTCCACTCACCACAAATACCTTGATCGCTGAACAGCTGCCAGCTTTGATTATACAAAGGTAAGAGGAAAGAGTGAGTCTATTAAGTTTGACAGTCATAACACTAACTCTGTCAGAAAATGAGAAAGGATCTTTTTCAAATAATTGTATTGCCTAAAACTCATTTCAGACATGCCATCACACATAAGATCACACAGAGTTTCTGGGATGATGACAACAGATGTTTCTGAAGCATTTTGGAACTGTAGAGCCTACTGCCTGGCAGCTCTCCTGCACTGCCTTTCTGGGGCTCCAAGAAACACTGGTGTTTTTTTTTCACACATATCAAGTGAAGTATTTGTATCAAAACGGATTCAGCTTTGGACCAAACAGTAAGGAATATTGTCAAGGTGCAGCACAAAGCTTTTGGTTTGGTTTGGGATGGGACATACACAGTCCAATCTTGGGGGAGATGCTTGGGGGAGGATATATTAATACAAAATAACACCAGTTCAGATGGAGCAGCGAAGAAAACTGTGTGTGAAAGGGTTGTCACTGCCTTCATTTGGCACAGTCTTTCACTTGTTGCTCTGAAGCTGCCCTATGCCTGGATACAGAAGGAGAGACATGATAAATCTTCTCTGGTAATACATCCTGCTTCTCCTGAAGTGATGTTATTTCTTACCTAGTGCACGATTGTGGCTTGGAACCCAAAGATAGTAATTTGCTCTACACTAAGACCAGGAATATTCTCCCACAGGCGGATCAATGCCTTCTTGCACCTTCTTGTTTTTTCAAGGAAAGTATGCAGATATAGAAATAAT